AGCTATTTAAAGAAAAGAGAATTAAAGGAAAAATCATCCTCTAAGACGAATTTTCTAATTTGATCAATATCATCATCCTGAGCTCGAAAATCCGATATTGGATTTCGGCTGCCTCCATGTTTTCAAGAGTTTTCCTGCATGCTTCTCTGTCCTGAGCGGCCTCTACCAGTTCCTGATTCCATGGGTTCTGGCTTCAGCACTTTTCTTTTTCCCACCGGCTCCATGCTCAGCAGCTTCTTTGGTATCGAGGTCTCTTCCATCCGTGCAATTTTTCCCTTCGATCTCAGGCTTGCTGTCCGGATATATTTCACCACATTCGGCTCCTTTTATAAGTTATCTAGTTCTTCGTTGCGTCTAATTTTCCTTTCACCATTCTCCTTAGCTGGGCCAAATATCCTCCGAAGGATCTTTCTTTCGAAAACTAATATTTTAAGCATCTGTTTAATGAAAAGAGAAATATAGGAAAAATTCATCCTCATAGACGAATTTTCTAATGTAATATATATATAAAAATATTATCGTGACGAGCACTAGCGAATTCTGCAAGGGGGTAACCCTCCCCCTGGATTGTGGACGAAAAGTTCCAAAAACCAGCTATTAAAAGAAAGGATTAATGTAGTTTTGGGGCCGCCGTGAGATGCAAAGGCTTGTGCTCCTGTCGCATTTGTTCCTATTGACTCCAACTGAAATACATCTAGCAAGTGAAATACACGATGGAGAACAATTTATTTTAAAAGATATGAACTTCATTTATTCTTACGAATAAAATTTTATTCGAGCACGAGAAAATACGGGTTTTCTTCCAGAGCCAGATTTATTCAGTTTCAATAGATCTGGATGCATTGAAATTTCAAGCAACTATAGTCTTCTTGAAGAATCCATGCGATTCATACTACTGGTCACGATAATAATTTGTACATTTCTCATTAAAAGTGTTATTCTTTTCTTAAAATAGCTGTTGGTGGGAACGTTTTCATGAGGCAAGATTCTAATTATTTGGTCTCCGATTTGATCGGAATCAGGAATTATTCTGAGCTTTTGTTCTTAGAGAACTCATTTCCAAGCTGCAAGATCATTTATTTTAATCTTTCTCAGATTTCGACAATGTCGGTAAAAAATAGCGTTCATTGACCGTGGTTATCGATCATATCACTTAATCAAATTATTTAGTTTAGGTACTCGTTCGACGGACAATTTGATGTTCTTTAATCTCTCAAAGAATATTTTTTTCGCTTTGATGCATGCACTGTTTAGTAGTAATACATGAAAAAAAAAAAAATCAGACAAATCTGGATTTTTTGGTTGTAAAAAGTTTTCTCTTGGTGATGGGTAGTGGTGGGGGAACGGATAGGGGTGGGGGATGCACCTGGTACAGAGGTGTGCCAATCCTCCTCCCTGAGAAAATACCTGGATCCGTCACTGACTCCCATTCCATGTGATCAATGCCTTCCACATTTCACAGCCACTACATCGTTAACAGTTATTTAAATTGATTTTAAGATTTGGCTCAAAGCTAGGAAAAGATATGTATTAATAAAAAAATTACGCAGTATCAATTTCATTGAAATCCGTCCTCTACTTTCTCTTATATATGCCCAAACGTGTTTTACTTGATACTTCTATAACTCTAAAACCGCTCGTTCGATTTGGCTCAAATTTGGATGTAAGTAAGGAATGGTTAACAGATAATTAAGTGAATATCAATTTTATATATTTATATCCACTACTTTAAAATAAAATATCTCTGCTTTCTGATTAGTAAATGTATTATTTGACCCGGCTATAATTTGAAAACGGCTCGTTCAATTTGACTCAAACTTGGAGGACATTTGGAGAACATTATAGAAATTGCATAGTGTGAATTTCATTTAATAATTAAAATTAACACAAATAACTATTAACAGTACAGGCTGCGAAATGTGGAAGGCAGTGATTATGTTTAATGGGGGTTATATTAAACAACATTTTTATGACTTAATAAGATTTTATTCGAATAGTTAATTTTTACTGTATTGTTTGATGGCTTCCGAATGTTACTAGCATGATGCTTACTGCCGTTATCTCAATAAATCGTTTTAATTTTCTATAAATTTAAGTTAATTCTTATTCTAAGTTTGTAAAAAAAAGTAGTCGTATTTGTGATTGTTTTTATTTCTAATGAAGTTCTACGTGGCTTCGATTTCATCCTTGAACATCAAATTTGTGGTAACTTCACTTATATTTTTATATTCCAGCTTAAATTAGTTGTGTTATGACTGAAGAAAAGTATTGACCTCGTTAACTACGAACAAACAAAAAGTTTAATTATTCCTATGAATTTTTTGTTCCATCCATTTTATGTGTGAAAACATAAGTATATATAACCTATGTTAGTGCAAAAGCTGGTATGTACAAATTTTCAATTTTATTCTATATTTGACATTTTGTTGTCTGTAACTGAGATAAGTAGTCTGCTAAAATGGTAAAATGCTTTCGCGTTTTAGTATTTTTGATGAACGAAATTCGTGGATATCAAACACGTATATGTTGAGGGATTACTGATTTTCCGAAAACGGATTTTCTCAGAGATTTTGTTCTCATACGAAAAAATTTAAATATTATAATAAAAATATTTTGTAGCCAATGAAGACGGTGAGGAAGCTATATGACCTTACTTGGCAGACTTCTTTTTTTTTTAGAGTAGTAGATTGAATTTGATAAAATTGATACTTTCCTAATTATCTGTTAACTGATCCCTAACTTTCCTCCAAATTTGAGCCAAATCGAACCTGCGGTTTTAGAAATATAGATGTATCGAGGAAAACACGTCTTGTGCATATATAAGAGAAAATAAAGGGTGGAATTCAATTAATTCTATACCGTAATATTATTTTACTAAAACGCTTCTTTCTTTCAACTTTAAGACAAACACAACGAGCTCTTTCTGAAATATTGCGATATCTAAGAAAATACATTTTCGAGGTACTGTACAGAATTCTATGAATTGAATACAGGATCATTTTTTTACCAATTCCCACCTTTCCTTCAACTTTGATAATAAATCGAGACATTTCTGTTCTGAAATATTGGTATATCTAAGATAATATATTTGCGCGTATGCAACCTGAAGCACTATATGGAATTTGATGAAATTGATATGGGACCATCTTGGCATCAGCCCGCACATCAATGAAGATTTCATACAAATTGGATCACGGGCGGATCTACCGGGGGGAGGGGGGCTTTCGGGCTGAACCCCCCCCCCCCAAAATGGAAAAATATAACCGTTTTATGGGGAAAAAAATTTATAAAATACCTCTTAAAGTATTATTCTTCCTGTAATTACATTTAATACTACTTAAGGAATAACTTAAACACCATTTCATATATGTAGTTAGTTTCTTTCTGTTTTTCCAAAATAATTATCGTTATTTTTATGAAAAAAAGAAGGTTTCGGGCTGAAGCCCCCCCAAAATTAAATCCTGGATCCGCTAGTGAATTGGATGAACGGTGGTAGATCATATTCCCGTCACATCGATTTGACAACAGACAGACATCACTCCCATCGGACCAAATTATTGTTAATTATTTAAGATTCTTGATGTCTGAAACTTAAAACGCGAGTGTAAATCTTCGATTCTGAGCCCATATTTGTTTTAACTTCCCGCACGAATACCAAGGTTCCCTACCTTGGGTAGTGAGGAAGCAAAATGCAAAACAATTTATTAGGCGCCCTTTGGAAATAAACGAATACAAATCAATTATTTTAGGAGCCAAACATTCTACGCTACTAAAAATATATGAAACAGCGACTTTCAGGTGTCAACATTTGCGGAAACAAACAAATACAAGACAGTTATTTTAGGAGCCAAACATAGCTCGATAATAGATTAATACAAAACAGATATCTTCAAGCCCTCGGAGAGCCAATCAATGGTGTAAAAAACAGATTTGTTTCGTTTTCTGCCTTTACTTTACTACTTTAACTTGCCTTTACTACTGGATTTCTAGAATATAAAATACCAAGCTATTTCAGCTTGTATGAATAATTAGAAAAAAATATTGCTGATAGAGGTGTTACATCTCATAAACTACAAAAACTAAAAGACGTTTCCAGTAAAGTATATTGAATAAAATTTTGTAATGAAAAAAATAGCTAGATTCATTTTTAGTGCACTTTAAAACTTTCAAATACGAATTTTTATAAAAAATAAAAATTTGAGTATTTGATTTTGTGAAGAATTTTTTTTCCCAGACCTTAAGCATTTATAACTCAGGATTTTTTTCCGAATTCAACGTTACTGTACCCTTTGGAAACTGAGTTATTTCTCTCCCAAACCACATCATTAACTTCTAAATTTGAAACATTTGCCAGAAATAAATCAAGAACAACTCCTAAAATGTTTTAATTTTAATCTCCAGCTTAAATTTCTTTGTGGTCTGGTTTGTGTCACCATGTTTAGTTTGAAGCTCCTATATCTTTAACAATTTTCGTGTGGATCGATGGAATTCTCTTGAAGTAAAACAATTTTTGCAGTGTTAAATTTTTCATGATCGCAATACTTTCCTATACTGTATATTACATATATAGGTAAGTGAAAGTAAAAAATGTATTTAATTCTCTAGAAAATTGCCTCTTCTTTTTTTTTTTTTTTTTTTTTTTTTTTTTTTTTTTTTTTTTTTTTTTTTTTTTTTGTGGAAGAATTGAGTGTATTTTATTTTTGTGATCCTGTTTATTTGTTGTTACATCTTTATCAATTAAAAATAGTAAGTTATATTTAAATACAACTTATTAATTTTTTTTAATTTATCTAAGCTTATTTATTCAGTGTGTCTCTTTATCTGAAGTAGTTAAATTCCTTCTTTACCTGCTTTCATTTAAAACATCACTATAACAAACTCCATTTTAAATAAAATTATGAAATGAATTGTTTTACTAGTTGTAAAACAGCATTATCATAGATCATATTTTAATTTTGATGAAGTTATATTGGAATTGAATGCATTATTATTCATTACAGAAGCTCTATTGGCCAGCCGACCATTGCCTCACATACCAGAGCCAGCGGGTCTTGCATCCAGATGGACATCAAAAGAGAACCTTCTGTCTCAAGAAGAAGATGACCCTCAGTTATTTGTTGCTCTCTACGACTTCCAGGCCTCTGGTGAAAACCAGCTTACCCTTAAGAAAGGTAGAATATATTATTTTGAGGAAATGATACATTAACTGCTATTCGGAATCCAAATAACATTTAGGAATTCATTGTTTCATTGGGTTTCACATATTTAATGTATTCTAATAGAGGGATTAAAACTAATTATCTGAATGTTGTTGAGATAGTTTACTGTTATTATAATTTGAGATGCAGTTGGACAGGCAGCAGCTGCAGTCAATATATGATATTATACATTATAATAGTATTTTATTGGATTTGCCGACATTTTGACCTACATTTTAGATCTTCGTCAGGGCACTGCTGGAAGCAGTTGGGAGACCAGTAGTCAGAAATCTGGAAAGTGCAGATTTTAGCAGCTTCCAGCAGTACCAGATGCATCACCCTGATGAAGAACTACAACATAGCTAAAAACGTCGACAAATCCAATAAATTACTGTTATAATATGTAGTATTATATTGACCGTACCCCGTGACCAACTCCTCAAAATATGTGGATGTTTCCAATCCCTTCTAACTAAAATAGTTCGATAGGTTCACTTAGAATTAAAATTAACCCTTCTAGACAGACATTAAATCCCTACTGCAGCTTCATCAAGTTTTTCATTTATATTGCTGTTAATTAGGTGCATATATATATATATATATATATTTATAGTGATGTTGCTATAAAAATAGTATTTCGGAATACAGAAATTTTGATTAATTAATGATCCATATCCTCAACATATTTTTTCTGCTCATGATTTAAGTCTGGTGTTGAATGATTGTTTTGGCTGATTCTCATTCTCCCTTGCCTGCCAATGAAACTATTTGTCTAATAAAAATTTAGATTGATCAATTCAAATAATTAGATTTGAACCTAATCAAATCAAAACCTGTCAAAATAATGTATTCTATCTAGTCATGGATGGAAAACAAAATTTCCTGCTGCAGACAGAATGAAACTTAAAAATTATAGCAGTCCATGTTAAACAATTAAAGGAGAAGGTAGTACCGGGTGCAGGAATTTACAAGCATTTGACGAATGCAAATTAAATGTGAGGAACATGGTGGTTTTTGTATTTTTCTATATTTGTGGACTTGAAATAAATAAATATAATAAAATTGTATAATGGAAATATCTTTTTGTTGGATTTTGATAACTTGAAAATGAGCAAAGTAGCTCGAAACGTTGTTATAAGTTAAATAAATAGTAAAATTATAATTCCTTATCTATCCTTGAAGACACCATTTATAAATATTAAAAATGATAAGTTCTACAATTAGTTCAAAATTAATTGGGATAAATTTAACCTCTTAATATCTATCTGTTGTTATTTATTTTATGAATATTAACATTGTTACAAATAAATTATACATATACATACGTGTCTGTTTTTGCGTCCGCGTGCATGTGTGTATTACACTGCAGTTCTTGGCTATATTTTTACCATGATCCTTTTATGTAGGCTTAAGCATATTGATATACTTCATAGAATCATCTAATTTTATTAAATTAAGTGATTCCATGAAGTATATAAATTTCTTAATTTAACTATATTACTTAATTAATATACTTATTCTATATGACACATATTTATATACTTCATAGAATCACCTGATTTTATCAAATTAAGGGATTCTATGAAGTATATAAATTTCTTAATTTAACTATATTACTTAATTAATATATTTATTCTATATGACTCATTACCTTAAGATATAATCTCTTTCAAATATATTTTTGTCTCCAAAGGTACTACATGAGGTCAGTTAAGTAATTGTTTGTAAGTTGCTTATACAGGTTGTTTCAGTTCTTAATGGCCAAACTCTGGGAGGTGATTCTAGACAAAATTTCCAACAAAAAAATTCATTTGATGCAATGGTCAATTCTGAATGGAAAAGGAGTTAAGACCAATTTTGTATTTTTCTTAAGGTTATCACGTTTTTTATTGAATAAGGAGGAATTGCTCAAAAACTGCTCAAGATAATTGAATTCTAAGTACACTATCGTAAAGTAGACAATTTTTTTTTAGAAATCAGTGATTTTTTGCTTTAAATTCAATCTATTTACCTATTCAACTCTTCACACTATGTAGCTCTCAAAGAATATAATCTATTATTATTATTTGATTATGCTTATTACTATTATATCACCTTATGGTTTTTTGGCAGTCAGAATCAGCCTTATCCACCTCAGCTTGTCTTGGGCTGTTGCTTTCCAGATTGCGCCATGCAGTTGTACAGTTTCTTTGTTGAAGCTATCTTACCATCTGTTTTTTTTTTGCTTCCCATATGGTCTATTGCCCACTATTGAGGTATTCACTGTTGTGTATTGGCTTTATAATGGTTTGTTTCTAGTTACTTGTACTATTCATTTAAACTCCTGTCCTTCTTAACATGTGGGATATCAATTAATCAGTTCCTGTATGTAAGCAGTTTTTTATTGGTCTTACTCCTCCATAGGTTAATTATCTGATCCTAGATCACTCCAAATATTGTATAGAGGAATTGTCTCTTAAATCTTTCAAGCTTTCTTTCTAAAGTAGTGGTTATTGTCCAGGTCTAGTAACTTATTTGCAGAATTAGCTTAATAATAACATTATTTTCACTTAATTTGATATTTCTACAGATTTTTCAGAATTTCAAAACCTTTGAAAGAGACAAGAAAGCTCTATTTACATTTGTATATGCTGTTCCATTTTTGAACTTATGTTATTTATTGAGGTTATTGTGAGCGCAATGTATTTGAACCTGTCTTTTTTTCAGAAACAACTTTCCTCCTGAAGATACTATTGTTGGATTGGTTTTCGTCTTACCTTGTGTTTGGTTTTTTGTCTCTATTTAGTTGTAGGTCAGTTGGTTCTAGCACTATTTTTCTCACTTTATACATACCATACCCTTTCATTAGTGACATCTGCATAGACTTGACTACTTTCATGAATTTTAAGTTTTTATTTGTCCGAGTAGATTAGATTTTAATAGAAAATGTATAAAATCCCGAATTTTTCTGATGCATATTTGCAAAGATAAATAGCTAAATTGCAAATTTTTAAAAGCTAATACAATAATTTCAAACTAAATATTGAATATCTGAAACAACAGAGTGAAAGAAAAACAAAAAGATATTTCTAGCTAAGAAGTATTAAATATTTGAAATTATTGTATTAGCTTTTAAAAATAAATAGCATAAACCTTGCATAAAAATATAGAAACAGAAAGAAAGCTAGAAGAAAATCAAAATCATTCTTATGCTTGTGATCACTTAAAAAACATATTACCCATTAAGTGCTGAATGGTCAAATTGAATACACATTGGTCTCTGAACGGTCAAATTGAATGATAACCTCGCATAGCCTCTTTTAATAATAAAATAATCCCCTTTATAGTAAAGTAGTGTAGATCCCTTTTCCACCTCTCAGGAGCAATCAATTTCTTGCATCGAGCAAAAATTAAATTTCTTGAGAAGTAATGAATTTCAATTTCAATTTCTTTTCCTTATCTTCTTATTTTAGCAAAAGTTATTGTAAATGTAGGAGGTTTCAGAATTTCAACATCAATAAGTCAACGGATCATGACAGGACAAATTGTGTTTTAATGATTTTGACTCAGACATCAAGAGCAGCTGGTAAAGTTCTTTATAAATATGCCCAGGTCTTGTGTTTCAAAGCCTTAAATGTACTGTTTTGGAGATAAACCATAATTCTTGTTAATAGCCTACTAGTTGCCACAGTTGCCATATGATAGTTATCTCATGTCATTGAGGTTTTTGAAAATTGAAATATTGATATTAATTTTAGTCTACTGCAAAACAAAAACCTATTTATTGAAAAGGTAAATAAATGAGAATAGCCTTGGGATTAATTTAACAATTAAATCACTTTTTATCTGTTTTTACACTAAAATAAGACCAACAACTAGTGTAGATGTTGAATGATTGTTTCCACTAACATAGTGGAGGAGTTAGATGACGGACCAGTGCAATGACTTGGTTATGCGATCATAGCATAATCAGGATTAGCTTCCATCAACCAAGGTTTGTCCACTAGCAGTTCGTATTTGTTGGCTCTGTTATATCTCTTCACAAAAACTGGGATTTGGTGTAGATTTGGGTCTGGATATATTGTAGTAGCTTATTCATGAATGAAATTCTCCTACTGTTTTATCTTGTAGTTATTTTTCTGAGAATTAAAAAAATTGTCCTCCAGATAATGCCGTTACATATTTCCATTTCTGAATTTCCTTGATTATCATTAGCCAAAGACTGGCTCATAGCAAGAGTTCTAGTAATTTTTTAGATCAGCAGATCAAATATCTAAGTAAGGAGAAGATGCACCAAAACTTTGTATTACAGGTGTGGAGGTCAAATTGGAACAGAGGATTGCAAAATGGCAAAGAATACTTATAGACAGCAACCAAGAGGTAGAAAACGGAAAATTCAAATGAATGAGAATTTGGCAAATTCAAAATTGATAAGTTGAATAAATTGTAGAGAGTTAAAAAAAATCATAGATCTGTTAAGTAGCCATTATTCAAATTAACAAATACCATAATTGTAGGTTAACTTTGAGAACTACATCATAAACCACAACTCTTAAATGTGACTATAACAAATACAAATTATTGCAAATTGTGCTTAAACATAATAATTGAGCTTTAAAGATTTCTTTGAATGAAATCAGGATAATTATAAAAAAAATCTGGTGCGTACAACACACAAATTTCACTTATCGCTCTACTTTGAAAAGAAAATATTTTCTGGCAATGCTGGGCTATTATAAAATTTTTGAAGTGCATTTTAAACTGATAACAAGTCATTAAGACCATTATAATTACAAAAAGTCTATTTATTATACCGACGGTTGGCAATAAAAATCTCGTCATTGTATCTGCTTTTATGAACCACACAACTTCAGTCTCTGAGCCTTTCAGTTGAATGAGTGACCTCTCCAATTTCAATGATATTTTTAGTTCAAAAAGTTATCTATACAGATAGTAAATTGATTCCGTAGGAGGTGATTGCAGTGTTAAAATATAGAACTGTGAATAAAGGTACAAATTTTGCTTCTAGAAACCACTAAAATTAATAATGAAGAATGTTAAAATTGGAGTTAGTCATTCTGTTAACCGAAAGGCTGATATATGCCTACAGAGGTTTGAAAGTATATCTGAATATTTAAGCTATAAATGATTATGGATCGTAGAACTATTAGTAGTGTTGCCCAAAATCACTTTGCAAGACCAAGACCAACACTGCCTGGTAAAAAGACCAAGACTGGTAAAAAAATCGATTTTTTGAATAAAAATTGAGACAAAATAGTTACTAATACTTGACAGTTTTAGTTAATATATGTAAAGAATTGGTGTAACCAATATACTTTTGCATTTAACTCTTCTAATTTTTCATTCAGACTTAAGATTCTCATATCTAAAAATTACTATAATATTTCTCTAGTAGTAAGCTAAGTGACTGCAAGACTGTTACGAGAGTCTTGCGCAAGACCAAGATCTAGAACAAGACTGAGTTTACAAGACCAAGACTCACCTCGGTCTCCCATTGGCAACACTAACTATTAGTTATTAATCTGTTATTTTCCATTGTAAAGTTTACTAAAAGAAAAATTATGAGATTTTCATTGCCTTGCCATGGATAGGTCAAAAGTTGTCTCACTAATTGTAAGTGGATTATGTTGGGATTTCACAAAGGGAAAATTCATCAAATTATTCACTAATTTAATTTTCTAAAAGGTTACTTGGCGATTTTTTGGAATAAATGGCCAATAGATATCTAATTATTTAAATATAATATCTTATCTAGAGTTAATACTCTATAGTAAATATATTTGAGGTTATAAACATATCCATGAAATATTTTTATATTTCCCTACTCTTTCACACAAGTATAATGAAATAGTATTTTTAACAATGGCATTGGCTTGATTCGGTGGATTTTATATACTTTTTTTCAATCTTAGAAAGACATTTAAAAGTTTACATATAGTAAGAAAATTTCATTTAATTTCCTTGAAAACATGTGATTTACTTTAAATAATAATAGTTTTAAAAAATATTATTTATAATTTTTTTGCAGCTCTCCGTTACCTTTTACAACTTTCTATATTAGATATTGTTTTTTCTAAAATTCTCTGCTTTCCAACGATATATTATACATACACCTTGTGACTAGTATTTCCGGAGATTCATTTTCGGCCTGGATAAGCATTTTTATTTTTTTCTCCTTTATTCAATTATCAAATTCTTTCAAAAGTTATAGTTAGCATTTTTTCATAATGTGAGATGATTAATTATTTAAAATAAACCTTATTAAAGGTACTTTAGAAGAAGAGGTATATGAACATTGGGCATTTAATTCCTGTAAAGTGACATCAATGGGGATAAGACCTGATTGATATTAAAGACCACTTCATTATACAATGATAAACCGAGTTTAATTAAAATCGTTAGAGCCATTTTTGAGAATATTATAAAAATGTGTTTTAGCGTTGATATAAAGTGGCACTTCCGGTTAGCTGATTTTTAGGAAAAAGTTGCTGTCACATCTAAGGCATATACCTATCTTAAATACGTAATATCAGTTTCATACGACTTTTTGTTTTTGAGCTAGACTGCTAACATACAACAACACAGGCACACAGACCATTTAAATAAAATAGATCATTGAAATCTTTTAAAGTGGTTTGCTCTTGAAAAGAAAGTTGTTTACTACGTTAACAAATTTGTTTGCTACGTTGTTAAATTTACTTGTATGTGTCTATTATTCTATAAGAAATCAACAACCAGTTTTTACCAATTGCCAAATCTGAAAAATCTTTAATAATGTCAGTTAACTTTATTGATTTTCGAGGGACAGTTTTTGAATCTTTTTTCCATCTATAGACTGAACACCCATTGATATAAGAAGTATTTTATAATTTAAACAAACTTTTTTGAGATTTATTTTTTCTGGCTCAAGATATGTTTTACCATTACTGCCTCTAATTGCGCCTTTCAGTTGACAGAATGACTAACTCTAATTTCATCATTTTTGAGAAGTTATTATAGTGATATTTCTAGTTGGAAAATTAGAATACCTGTACAGACAGTGAGTAGGGTTATTCAAGAGAAGTTGATTGCAGTGTTGAAATATAGAACTGTGAATAATGGTATAAATTTTCTCACTAGAAATATCCCTAAAATTAGTAATAAATGTTGAAGTAGGAGTTAGCCATTCTGTCAACTGAAAGGCTCAAATAATACTTGATAACAATTAATGAGTTGATAAAGTGTATTGAGAGCAATTTGAGAAATACAATTTTTTTGTGTAGTAATATTTTCTGTGTTTTTTTAATTAAACCCCATAGCCTGCATTTATTTCAGGACAATATATTTTATGTCAGTAGTATAAAAAAAAAAAAAAAGGTTATGTATTTGTGAAAGGAAACTGTCTAATAATCTAAAATTGTCTGGGCTCGAGTTAGAAAAATATTCTTGAAGATCATTAATCAAGTTGTTATCAAATCAAGTTTTTTTCACATATATGAGAGTTATTGTTTTGAAATCGTAAGGGGGTAGTGTTTAAAAGTAGATTAAAAAAAAAATATTTTTTTTAGTACTTATTTAAGGTTTTCATTTTTATGTTAGAAAAATATTCTTGAAGATCATTAATCAAGTTGTTATCAAATCAATTTTTTGAATTTAAATAAGTATTGTTTTGACGGAATAGGGAAGTAGTGTTTAAAAGTAGATTTTTAAAGAATTTTTATTTTTAAGTACTTATTTAGGGTTTTTATTTTAAGTGATCATTTATTAGTAATAAAGCTTTATATTCAATTTCTTGTCACTTAGTTTCTTCTAGTTTTATAATTTTATTTAATAATAATCATATTTTACAGGTGAACAGGTTCGTATCCTGTCCTATAATAAATCTGGCGAATGGTGTGAAGCACATTCCGCCTCATCGCAGGTTGGATGGGTACCTTCCAACTACGTGACACCGGTGAACTCTCTAGAAAAGCATTCCTGGTACCATGGGCCAATTTCTAGAAATGCTGCAGAGTACCTCTTATCTTCTGGAATTAATGGAAGTTTTCTTGTCAGAGAGTCTGAAAGCTCTCCGGGACAAAGAAGTATATCCCTCAGGTATGAAGGTCGAGTATACCATTATCGAATCAATGAAGATCCTGACACCAAGGTAAAATTTCATCTTATTCCTGTAATGATATTTTGAAATATTTATTAATTGTAGTTTGTTCAATAATTATTAACTGTCATGAGAAAAGAACAATTTGGTTGACTAGTTCTCTTCTCTTTCATGTCTGTCTGATCTCTTAAATCTTCATGTCAACAATTTTTTATATAGTTCATTATAAACTGTTATTTTAAATCAAGATAAAATTATCTTATCAGTTCTGGTACTTAATTTACATTTAGTTTTAAAATTTCTAGGTATACGTGACAACAGAAAGTAAGTTCAACACTCTTGCTGAACTTGTGCATCACCATTCAATGCACTCAGATGGCCTAATTACCCAACTCCTTTATCCTGCACCAAAGCACAATAAACCTGCAGTATTTGCCTTAAGCCCAGGTACATCTGTTATGTTTATTATTTCTTGACATGAATAATTCCTTAGATTTTAATTTTTTATCTTTTTTTTTCTCCATTGAGCTTTTCAAACTGGAAAATATTGATAGTGAAATAGAGTAGCATAAGTAAAATAATATAATTGTATAAGTATAAAAATATCTATATATTGAAAATGTTAAAAAATAATAATTTATGAAGATAATTTCAATCAAAACATATTATTTCAGAACCAGATGAATGGGAGATTAATAGAACTGATATAGTTATGCGACATAAACTTGGAGGAGGTCAGTATGGTGATGTTTATGAAGCAGTGTGGAAAAGATACAATAAGACTGTAGCTGTTAAGACATTAAAGGTATAATTAATATTTTCCAAGGGATTTATCCAATTATGCAGTAAAAAATATTTTTCCCAAGTATTTTTAAAGAAAAATTATGTGCTAATATATTGTGTTTAAAATAATGAACCTTTTTTTTTCTCATTCCCATTCAGTAAATTAACTATATACTGTAGGTTTTTATTGGAGTCTGCTATGAGGATAATATTGTCCGTGAAAACAAACACTTCAGCTTGGTTTGTCCTCATATTCCACTTTCCCACAACTGTCCATATTTTCTTCTGCTTGCATGTTTTCAATATCTTTTTCATAAGTATAATGAAAAGAGAGGACTAAGGCTGTCACTCTGACTAGCTCCTTTTCTCATGTTGAAGGGCTCAGACTCTCTTATTCCTATAGAATTGTGGTATGTAGATTTTATGGCACTTAATAATTCAGTAGGGACATTTTTAATGGCTAAAGCTCCATATTTCTTGTCTGGGGGTGGAGTCAAAGGCTTTCTTTATACCTAGGAATGCAAGGTTCTTAGCAAAAAAATGTGATTCTGTGTATGAAACTAGGTTTAAATGCTGCCTGCTCCTTCTCTAATTTCTCTGTAACAATTTATCTGCGCTTCCTTTCCAGAATAGAGATAAAGCTTAAAAACTTTCAGGGTGAAGGCATATAATGAGTAGTGATATAGATGTATGATACAACCATTAAAGAGCTAAAGATTTTAATAAAATGAACATTAGCAGTATAGAACTTCAATGGAAGTCTTGGGCCGACAATAAAAAGAAAAAAATATTATTTATAAGGGGATAAAAGATAATGAAGAGTGAGAAATAAAGTTAATGAATTTTAACTATGTGTTCTTTTATATTATAGAATGGAAAATAAAAATTTCTAATTAAACTAAATAGAATTTTCATTTTAAAAAATCTATGTAATACAACTTTCACTTACCGCTCTACTTTGAATAGAAATTATTTTCTGGTAATGTTGGTCTATTAAAAACATGTTAAATGGAGCCAAAGCTTAAAGCTTACTGCTAACAAATCATTAAAATAACAAAAATCTTATTTATTATATCGACAATAGGCAATAAAAACCTTGTTACTCCATCTATTTTTGTAAAACACATAACTCCGCAGTCTCTGAGCTATATGTGGATTTCAGTTGACAGAATGACTAACTCCAATTTCAACATGTTTGAGTAATGTCGTTTTAGTGATATTTCTAGCTGGAAAATTTATAATAACTGTAAAGATTATGATTAAGTAGATTCCAGAGTAGGTGGATGTAATGTTGAACATAGCACTATAAATAAAGGTATAAATTTTCCCACTGTAAATATCACTAAAACTGATTTCTTTGCCTGCCATAGATAGGTCAAAAGTTGTCACACAATTGTAAGTGGATAATGTTGGGATTTCACAAAGGAAAAATTCATCAAATTATTCATTAATTTAATTTTCTAAAAAGTTACATGATGACTTAAAAAAAAAAAAACTATAGACACCTAATTATTTAAATATGATATCATATCTAGAGTTATTCAACTACAGTTTATGAATTTAAGGTTATAAACTTATATTTTAAACATCCATGAAATATGTTTATATTTTAGTTCTTTTTTCACACAAGTACAATGAAATACTTTTTTAAACAATGTCATTTTCTCGATTTTCAAATTTCAACTTTAGTTAGGATATTTCATTTGATTTCCGTTAAATAGTATTAATTTTCACAAATTATTATTTATAATTTTTCCTAAATTATTATAACTTATTTATAATTATCTTCTATAACTTTCTGTGTCAGATATTGTTTTTTTCTAAAATTCTTTGCTTTCCAACGATAAATGTATACCTTCTGACTATTATTTCCGGAGATTCATTTACAACCCAAATAAAAATGTTTCCTTTTTTTTCTCCGTTTTTCAATTATCAAATTCTTTTAAAAGTTATATTTAACATTGTTTTGTAACTCCTAACAATGAGAGACAATTAAGTTTTTAAAATAAACCAAATTGAAGATATTTTAGAGGAAGAAATATTGAACATTAGACATTTATGCGAACAGCAATTGTATACATTTCATGTATCGAGTAGGCAAGATTTGTTAATTTAAAGATTAATAAACTCTCTTTCTTTGGCGTTACCATAGAAGGAAAACAATAAAACCTGTACCACTACAACCCATGAAGGGTCTTGGGTGCAGTACTATGTGAGGAAGTACTGTTACAAGGCCAATGGTTGTGCAGGGAGGTGACGGGCCAATATCACGCTCAACTGCCAAATCTTCCCCCTTAATTATTTTTTAAATTAAGGATATCCACTTTATAGAGGCTGGGTGTGCCCCAGGAGGGTCTCATGATTCCAGGGTCGATCCACGGCTAATGAAAAATTAGTAGTCATTTGCCAAATTCGAACCTAGGACCTTGAGCTCTGGAAGTCAGTGCTCACTCACTGAGCTACCCCGCTCCTTAAGGAAAACAATAAAATAAAAAAATAAATATATATATATATATATATATATATATATATATATATATATATATATATATATATATATATAACAAAAACATGATCTCGAGGCAAAATTGAAATTTTGCAGCTAAGTCCTCTTTCACTATTTCAATGAGATTAATACCTGCATAATATTAAATACCATTTAATTTTACTTCAGTATGGCAAGTTTTATTAAAATTGTTAAATTAATAAATGACAAGTCCATAGTAATTGCTTTTATTGTTTTGATTCAAATCAATCACTAGATGAACTGACTTCTTATGAACATAATTAATAAAATTTTTGGTAAAGCATATTAATTCCTTCAAATAACATCCATTTTTTAACAACACCTGGTTCTGTTTTATTTTTATAATTTATTTAAAAGTGCATCCTGGTTAAGGCAACATGGGTGTTTGCAGTAGTGGCATGTTTTATATGCATGGATATAATTTCTATTTTTAATTTCTCATCCCCTAAAATAGATTTATAACTTGTATCTGATATGTTATACCATTTTAATGTCAACTCATATATATATATATATATATATATATATATATATATATTATATATATATATATATATATATATATATATATATATATAAATATATATATATATATATATATATATATATATATATATATATATATATATATATATGTGTGTGTATTTTTTTTTAGTCCTGATGAAGATTTGTGATATAGGTCAAAATGTAGTCTATAAATGAATATTATATCCCCTCCCTCCTCTATTTTGATCTACTATTCCTTATATTACCTTTGTTATGTTTCTAATTGTTGGTTATTGAAGTAATATTTTGAGTTTAATTACCTTTTTAAAAATCTATTTCTACTAGAAGTAGGGTGGTAAGTCTAAGTTGTATCATGCATCGCACCAGGTTTGTTTGTTTTAATGGTGTAATGTTTGGTGTTTGCTTACCTATGGTTTTATGAAATTTTGTACATATTATAATTTCCAGGCTGAAGTGAATTCAAAACTGTTGCCAGATTTTCATTTTTCCAACTATTGATAAGAGTTCTGAAATAATTATCTAGTTTATAATAAAAGGTGATCCAATTTGTGTTTCCTAACTTTTAATTAAAAAATATGAAAGTGTAATATTATCTTCGTTATATTTTTATTAATCAAATATTTAGTATGTCATTAAATATGAAAAATGATGTCAGCCAAATGGCCTCCTCTGGATATTCTGTAGCAGTTGATTCATTCAAGGTCATTTCAGATGACTTTTTTACAAGTTTTGGTGATTATCTCAGCTGTAATTTGGCAAATATTAGTTTTAGGTCCTCCAATGTTGCAGATTTTTTTTTATATAGATCCAACTTTTAAGGAAACACCACTAAAAGAAATCCAATAGTATCAAATTGCATGATCCTGGCGCCTAGTTGAAAACAGTTTAAATAATATGACCTCTGAACTTTCCATGCAAAGCATCTAACATTGCTCATGATGTGTGCCATATTGCTGAAACCACATGTCTTCCACATCAATATCCTCAATTTTGTGCCAAAAATGATTAGTTATGATGCACCTATAGTACTCATCATCAGATCTTTATTGCTTTCAAAAAATCAAGCCCAATGATGTCTTGTGTATCACATTTTTATCAAGATTTTTCTTACCCCAAATGCAGCAATTCTGTTTACTAATGTAGCGAAATATCTAGAAGCTAACTTCACCAGAGAAGGAAATTTACTTTGAAAAGTCAGCATCAATTTCCTGCTTCTGTAACACCCAATTAGCGTGAATTCTTGACTGTCCATGGTCTCTGAGCTTAAATTCTTGATTTAGCTGTATTTTATTTTATATTGGCGGTAGGTTCAAATCTCTATGCAAGGGGTCTAAGGGAGCCATAAGAAAGGCCCAAACTCTGTGAATGATGATGAATTGATAATTCTGGGCCTACTGATAAGCTATTACTCGCAGAAGAAATAGTCTCAGCTGAATGCATGCCACAATGATACAATCATCTTACGTTATCTCCAATTCTTCCATTTCTCTCTAACTTTTGTTTGCACAATGTTGCGAATTGTTCAAATTCTGGTGCTGGGAGACTTTTAACTCTGGCAAAATCTCCCACCCTCATCCCTGGACTGAAAGAAAAACTTAGCCTAAAAGGTGAGGATGGGGAGGAAACAAAAAAAAAAGTATTACATTCTGATATCTTTTTAAATAAATTTAAGCTAACACTGTTCCCAGGAAAGGGCAGGGAATTAATGCTAGAATTAAAAGCCCCTAGTACTGGAATTAAAACTTGTAATCTTCAGTTTATCAAGTTGCTGTGCAACGTGTGCACACCTTATCCCTCTTGGCCACCCTACTCTTTCAATATGTCAACTAACTTAATAAGCTAGGTTATGAGAATTCAGCCATGTATGTTCCACTCAATGATTCTAACTAAAATGTTGCTTGGAAAACTTGCCTTTACCCATCACGTTATTCCCTTTCTCTTTTCATTTCTATTGGAAAAACATTTTTCACCAATTTTATTTATAATTTTGACCAAATAATTTATTTTTTTCAGGAAGATACTATGGCCCTAAAAGATTTCTTAGAAGAGGCATCTATCATGAAAGAAATGAAACATCCTAATCTGGTTCAACTTCTAGGCAAGTTTCATTGTTATTATTTTTGTAAACAATAAAGTTCATTTTAATCAACATTTAATTAGTACAATAAATCAATCCAGCTGATCAAAGTTGAGATCTTTAGTGATAGTTAGGTTAAGATCTAGGAATTCATGATGATGGATTCCTTCCATATCTCACTACAAACAGACATAATTATTTTTTTGACAAATTCTTAAAAACCTACATTACTTATGGAATGACCTGGTAGTTGTTTTGGTTCATACCATATTTTTATTGGTATTGTAGAGATTAATTAAAAATAATTTCAGAATAAGTTAGAATTTAATTCCCATTGGAGCCTCAAGAACATTTGCCCTTATTCTAATTTGCTTTAAGCTTATGAAGCCAAAATTTAACTGTTTCACTATTTATTTGTTAATATCTGTTTAGTTAGTCCTATAGTCATATTATTATAAATTATTGAATTTTCTTATTAAATCTAATTAAGTGTTACAATTTTATGTTCACAGGTGTTTGTACTAGGGAACCTCCTTTTTACATCATAACAGAATTTATGTCCAAGGGAAATCTTTTAGATTATCTTCGTCTTGGGAGTAAAGAGAATATTGATGCTGTTGTTCTTATGTATATTGCAACACAAATAGCATCTGGTAAGACTTTTTATTTCACAAACTGCTTATTCAAAATGACTGAATGCTATGATGTTCCCATTAGATGTTATTCCCAACTTGACTAATTATATAGCAACCAAGAATGGTGTATATTTCCTTTATGATAATGCAATGCCTCAATTTTTTTAAATTTTGATTAGGTAAAAATTGTTGCGTTTGGTTTGTATCCAGTATGTCACTCCTTATTTTTCAGACTTGATAACTTCTGGTTACCACTATATCCATTCAATTCCAAATCATTTAAACAATTTAACATTTGGTTTAAATGGAAGAAATTAAAATAGAATATATATAAATTAAAAAAAAAATTTTTTTTTAAATAGTACATAAACCAAATCTACAATTTTCAAAAGATGCTAATAAAACATAAAATAGAATATGATGTAAGTTGTTTCTTTGAACCTATTACATACATATATATTAGAGAATCATTATACAAATAGGCAAGCACAAAACTGTTCAGCCCCTTTTTTTCCTCTATTATTCAACTGATTTTCTTCCTTCTTTTTTTGTTAAATAGCTATTGGCGAGCTTTAGTGTTATCAATAAATAAAAAAATGAAATAGTTCGTAAATAAATATACACTGACAGACAAAAAATTCCAACCACTTGATTTTTTCATGTTTTCATCTAAAAAATATTTTACCCACTTGTAAAAAAAGTTGTATTTGTATATAATACATGCTATTTGTAGATAATACTTAGTATTTATGTAATTTTATAATCTTTTTTACCTTTAATAATCAAAATGTGATTGGGTAAGAAAGATTAGAGAAAAAAAAAATTGAAAAACGAACCATTATTATTCTAAAAGAAATTAATTACATCATCGTTTAGTAGCGCGTGTTTCCTCCTCTTGCCTTCACTACTTCTTGAAGACGCCTCGGCATACTTTCCACCAGTCGGGAAATGTCCCTTTGCTGGAGGATAGCCCATTCCTCCCGAAGAGCCCTTTCAAGGTCCTGCAGTGTATCAGGAAGTGTTGCACGCGCTCTTATTCGTCTTCCGAGGTTATCCCATAAATGCTCAATGGGGTTCAAATCTGGAGAACGTGCAGGCCAGGCTAAAACCTCAATATTGTTCTGTTGAAGGAACGTCTGCACTATGTGGGCGTGCATTAGAATAGAATGATCGCCGATTTCGTTGAGGATAGGTAACACATGAGGTTCCAAAATCTCATCTACTTAGAGCGGATGGCCGTCAAAGACCCTCCACGAACAACAACCAATTCTGTGCGACGCTCCATTGAAATCCCAGCCCACTCCATTAAGGAACCACGTTGGAAAGGTTGGGAAAAATTACAGGCTGCATATCTTTCGTTTCTTCTTCTCCACACCCTTTCACGCCCGTCTGGTTATTGAAGAGCAAATCTTGACTCATCTGTAAAAAGTACAGCTCTCCATTCGTCCATAGTCCAATGGTTCTCGAGCAAAAGCCAGCCGTGTTACTCTGTGAGTTCTGGTCAACACTGGTCCTCTTACTGGATGAAAAGCCATTAATCCATACTCATTTAATCTTCTCCAAGCGGTATGTTCAGAAATTTGCTCACCTCGAACTTCTTCGAGCTGATGAATCGCTTGAACAACGGTAAGGTGCCGGTTTCATAAAATTCTCTAAGTCAAAAACCGGTCATCCCGTGGTTCTGTTACCCTAGGCCGTTCAGAACTGGGCTATTGTAAGAACCAGTTTCCTGAAAATGCCTGACGGCGTCTCATAAAGTTTCATATGGAACTCCGATGGCATTAGCTGCATATATATCTAATGGAACATCCATCATCAATAAATAAGTGCCACACCACGCGCAACATCCTCAGCACTAAGAGGCATTTTTAAACTTAATATTGAAAAAATTAAAAGCTGCAAGAAACGGCACTGAACTAATGATACTGAATAAACATTCTGATTCCATAGAAAGTAAACATTGGAATCTAGAATCATTTCATTGAATTAAGGATTAAGGATTATTGTCCTCTATATTAACATTCCTAATTGAAAACAAACAAAAAGATTACCTATTTATTCATTAAAAACAATAGACCAATCCAAAGCAGAAATATTTTTAGATGAAAACATGAAAAAATCAAGTGGGTGGAATTTTTTACCTGTCAGTGTATAAATGGTAGTTTGTTCAAAACTGATCTCTCCTCAGACCATAGTCCCCTAATCCTAACGGTTTCCACATCACCGATTCCCAAACCACCTCCACCTTCATTTATCAGGGGGCCAGTTAATTGGAACCTCTTCCGTCAATTGCTGGATGATAATATTGACCTCAGAGTTTCCTTAAAAACACCTACAGACCTAGATGAAGCAGTACATTCCATGACTACGTTGATCCAACAAGCAGTTTGGACTGCATCTTCACCTGATCCTTCTAAAAAATACCGCAAAACAAATCCTCTACCCCAAGACCTACTGGACCTTATTAATAGAAAACGATGCTCTAGGGCTATCTGGCAAAGAACCAGGCATCCTGATGATCGGAAATCATATAACTACTATTCCAAGCAAGTAAAACAAAAACTGACCACGTTTAGATCCCAATCCTATAATTCCTATCTTTCCTCACTATCTGCAAGTGATAACTCCATCTGGAATGTAACTAAAAAAATCCTTAAATTCCAATCCATTTCCCACCCCCTCCGCCGTGATGATGGTTCCTGGGCTTCGTCAGATGAGAATAGAGCAGAAGAGTTTGCTAAACATCTATCGTACACATTCACTCCTCATCCTGAACTCCATCCCTCCCATACTGCTGAAGTTAAAGAGTTCCTCTCTTCACCGATTCCTCTCTCCTTACCTCCTACAGCCGTCAACCCCTCTGAGGTCAAATTCCTTTTAAAGAACCTAAAACCTCGCAAATCTCCAGGACACGATCTCCTTACTTCCCAGATCCTCAGACAACTTCCCAAAAAAGCAATTATATTCCTTACATACCTATTCAACTGTATTCTTCGCACAACCCACTTTCCTCTGATGTGGAAACACTCCATAATTATCCTCTTTCCTAAACCAGGTAAACCTGTTAATTATACATCATCCTATAGACCGATAAGCCTACTTCCGATCCTTTCCAAAATCTTTGAGAAAATCCTTCTCAAACGCATCCTACCCATACTCGAATCCCACAATATCCCTCCCCATCAGTTTGGATTCCGCTCAAGACACTCCACTGTCCAACAAGGCCTTCGCGTTGTCGACCACATATCCTCTGCACTTGAAAACAAGCAATATTGCACTGGTGCCTTTCTGGACGTAGCTCAAGCTTTCGACCGGGTGTGGCACGATGGCTTGCTTTTCAAACTCAAAACCCATTTACCTCAACCCTTGTACCTAGTCCTCAAATCCTACCTTTCAAATCGCTCCTTTCAAGTCCGCTGCGGCACTGAACTCTCCAAACATTATCCAATTGAGGCTGGTGTTCCACAAGGCAGTGTCTTGGGCCCAGTTCTCTACATCCTTTTCACCGCTGACTTCCCTTCAAGTCCTGATACCTTCCTAGCAACATTTGCTGATGATACTGCCATCCTATCCTCTCACTCGGATCCTCTAATAGCGTCTCAGAACCTGCAAAGACACCTTTCCTTCATTGAGCAGTGGTGCAACAACTGGCGCATCAAAATTAATGAATCAAAATGCAAGCATGTAACTTTCACTCTTCGACGCAGATCCTGTCCACCAATCCTTTTTAATTCAATTCCTCTTCCCTACTCAGACACAGTCCGATACCTTGGCTTCCTTTTGGACAAAAGACTGACTTGGAACCCACATACCAGGCTTAAAAGACAAGAGCTTAACCGACGATTTGGTCAGCTATATAGACTACTAGAAGTAGGACATCTCATATTTCGATTGAAAATAAACTTTTAATCTACTTTTAATTTATGTATATAACATACCTTCCTGAAAACTAGCTGCATAAATTTTTATGATGAATTCAGTATTTTATTTGCAAATAACTCAAAAAGTACACATTTTTTATTGATAATATCAATATTTATTTGAAAGCTTCCTGAATTCCCTACAAAATAAAAAATAAAAAAATCATCGAAATTGATAAGAATTAGCTTTGAAATGAAAGAAATCGTAGTGGCAGTAGGAGTAAAGTGGGTTCAAATATTTTTTTAAGGAGGAACAAAGTTGAGATTTGTATTTCGCACCTCGATAAACCCCCAACTACTAATTTTAAATGTAGAGGCTTTCATTTTTTTTTTTTTTTTTTAAATCACAAAAGTTGTCATAACCTCCATATGGCTCAAATTATCTAAACAAAAAATTTCATGCATTTAGGGCTCTATAGTTTACACGAAATGGCATAAACCAGAGGTCCCTAAATAAATTAGTCTTGGGGATAAAAAATAAAAATTTGTTTGCAGTTTTTCTTTATTTATTCCTTATGAGGGTGTTAAAAATAAAAGTTGTTTATATAAGCTTAAAGAGCAACAACTCAGCTTTCCATCGCTCATACAAACATTGGATTAGGAGACAATCATGAGGAGTTATGAGTTTTTTTAGTGAAAAGCAGGTAAAAAGATTCTGATAGAGAGTGGTTTGATATCTATGGTAACCAGATCGAATCATCTACCAATATCATTATATAAATAGGCAAAGACAAAACGGTTCAGCCCCTTTTTCTCCTCTATTATTCAACTGGTTTTCTTCCTTCTTTTTTTTTTTTTTATAACTATTGACGAGCTTTAGTGTTATCAATAAATAAAAATATGATATAGTTTGTAAATAAATATATAAATGGTAGTTTGTTCAAAACAGCTAATCTCCAAAAGTTCTTCACCGATTTCATTGAAATTTTGACAAATGGCACCTTTCGAAATGGCGACTGAAAAACGTGATTCGCTTTAGACTGTAGCGCCAATACGGACAGCTTTAACGATTTTATGAAACATGGCTAAAGTCTTCCCCTTGAAACATTTATAATTTATGTATATAACATACTTTCCCGAAAACAAGCTGCATAAATTTTTATGATGAATTCAGTATTTTATTTGCGAATAACTCAAAAAGTACACATTTTTTTATTGATAACACCAATAATTATTTGAAAGCTTCCTGAATTCCCTACAAAATAAAATAAAAAATCATCAAAATTGGACTATTTGTTGCAGAGGTATATCATTTCAAACATTAGTACTTTTTATTCTTTTGATTTCCTCTATTTTGGTTTTTGATAAATCAAAAACTTTAAATTTAATGAAGTGATCGGGACTATCATTTGAAGAGATGATATCACGGAATGTTAGCTCATAAATTACATTTAAAAATAAATTCTATTAGTTATACTCATTCTTAACTTAAATACTACACGAGCAGTAGTTAATGGAACACGAATGAGGGTGAAATATTGACAGGAGCTACTTTAAATAAAAGAATTTTAATTCCAAGAATTAATTTAATATTTTCGAATTTCAAAGAACAACGTTCTTATTAATAGCTGCATTTGCTATGACCATAATCAAATCGCAGGATCAAACTTTTGGAAAAATTGTGTATTATTGCAACATCCAGTAATTTCACATGAACAATTATATGTAGCAGCAAGTAGATCACATTAAAATTTTGAAATTTATATTTCCAATGGCAAATGTGAAGGCTATGTACTAAACAATAAAAGAACATTGTTTTCAGAGAAGTTCTGCATAAAAATGGATTTAAAGTCAGTTGAAATTACTAATATAAATTTATTTTTTACTTACTTAATCATAACATTAATTTATTGTGAAAATAACACATAAATTAAAATGAAAATTAAATATTTATAATGAGTCTACTTCGTATTATTAATAAATAATTATAAGTAGTTTAAGCTTGATTTTTAATTTAATTATGTTTTCCTCAAATTTTTAATGGCTATGGTCGAATTTCGACCACTGGGTGAAGACTAGTTATATTAAATCTTTGTAATTCAGCTTTATCTCAGTGCCCAAAGCTTATAACAAGACAAAGGGTGTACCTTCAAAAACCTTTATTTATATCTGTGAACACACCCAATGTTGTCTGATACTGATTACCTTCAGTAATATTAATGTCCGTATAGCATTGAAGAATGTAAAGTATTATTAATTTTACTCTTCGAATCGTTTGAAGAATTTGATATTTTTTTTACCAGTTCTCTGACTATAGAATTTGGTTTCCTATTTCATAACAGTATTAACCAATTACTAAGTGTATGTTATAAGTAGCAATTGTAATATTTAATATAAGTAACTAAATATTGTAGGTATGAGTTATCTTGAATCAAGATGCTTCATTCATCGGGACCTCGCTGCTAGAAACTGCCTTGTAGGAGATAATCATCTCGTGAAAGTTGCTGACTTTGGATTGGCCCGGCTAATGAGGGATGATACTTATACCGCGCATGCTGGTGCCAAGTTTCCTATCAAATGGACGGCTCCAGAAGGATTGGCCTACAATAAATTTTCTACAAAGGTATCTCTTAATATATTATAAGAATTTTATAAATCATTGAAACCAGGCCTTAAACGTTTACCCAAGTCCAGGGATAGCTCCAGGGCCCTACCATGGGTTGAATGGAATGGCTGCTCCAGGCGCCAAGTTCTCGAGGGGCGCCCACTCAGTATACCTATAAGAAGGCCGATGCAAGACTTCTATGAAAAACTATAAACTGGGTACCAGTTGCACACATTTTTTGTTGAAACCAAGCGTTGAGTAATCAAACCAAAAACTGTAGGTATTACCTCAGTAGCATTCAAAAAACAAAACAATAATATTAATGCGGTTTGAAAATTTTACTTTAAGGCAGTTATTGACATCAAAAACAGCTTTAAACGTTCATATCTTTGAAACTAATTACCACTAAGAGATGGGACGAATTTGGAAATCCCCGGTTAAACTCTACAAAGCAGAACAGAAAAAAGTACATCTTTATCAGACTACTCATTCAAAAGTTGTAAGCGATTGAGAAGTGCATGTACATATGTACGTAGCACCCACTCATCCATATACCCAGAGCGATTGCTGGAGTATTGCACGGCTTCTTTTCCTCTAATAAGGAAGAAAGCTTTTTTTCTACTTTTTCCTTTAACCGGAAGCGGTAGTAAAATGTAAAATTTGTTCTATTTGAAAATTAAACTATTATTATTTTAACAAGGAGGCCCCAAATTAGATCTAGTTCCATCCTAAAATTTGCCTTGGGCCAGCACTGGATAGCTCTGTTTTATACCTTAACTATTAAACGAAAGATATTTTTTAAGCTAACCACTGATTAAGGAAATTGTTACTTAAACAGTCATGGTAAAGTATGAAGCTCTACTAATTGTGTGTGTTAAATAAATTATCAAGATAATATTATGTTATATAAACGAATGAACACATTTCAAAGATGTCACTTACCCGTTGAATTGATCAAGGAGTAGGATAGCTATCTAATGTGAGATTTCTTATTGGGGTATATTAGTAGTTTATATTTTAATAAAATAATATCTGAGGAATAGATCCAATCTTTTCAAAAATACATTTATAACTAGTTGTATTTCATTTTTCACCCACATTAGATTGGGTTCACCTGGCATTAATCAATAAAACTGAAACTGTTTCTGTCAATTTTTTTTGTTATTATTATGCAAATTCTGGATGTTGTTCAGTTAACCAGATTGATTAGTACTATTTATGGTACTAAGTAAAATACGATCTTTCATATACTTTTGTTTCCTCACAGCTTAATTTTGTAAAATATAAATCAGTAAACACTTTATCTAATGCAAAAATAATTTTTCAACTAGTACTGGTAGTTCCTGAGATAAATGCATTAAAGCCAATGAACTCCAAAGTTTTGTACTGATTACATTATTACAAGCTTTGATGTACTTATGTTTGTTTGATTTCAGTCCGATGTTTGGGCATTTGGAATATTGCTTTGGGAAATAGCTACATATGGTATGTCCCCTTATCCTGGTGTAGATCTGACAGAAGTGTATCACATGCTGGAGAAGGGTTATAGAATGGAATGTCCCCCTGGCTGCCCACCAAAGATTTATGAATTGATGAGACAATGCTGGCAGTGGGAACCATTAGATAGACCTTCATTCCAAGAAATTCATCATGCTCTTGAAAACATGTTCCAAGAATCTAATATTATGGAAGGTAAAAAAATAATTTGTAACTATTGTACATTGTATTTATCATTTATCATTAATTTCCATTTTCCAACTGTTTTGTGTTTTAAATTAAAAATTCACTAATTCTTTCTTCTAATTCTGACTCTTTTAGACCGATACTTCTTTTAACCAGTAACCAAACCTTATTAGAGTCCACCCAAGAACTGTTGGTATGGTGGGGGAAAGGATGCACCATAACACAGGTACCCCCACCACTCACCCCTATTCCTGCTGTTTTGTTTTTGTGTTCTCATTCACATTCAAGTTATCATGATTTTTGTAACTAACCCCTTTTTGATGAACATTTCATTTCATGATGAATGCTGTTTTGGACCAGTATTAAATATTGCATCGCTTTTGTTTCTCTCTTTTGTTTCCAATTTAATCAAACTGTTGTTTTCTAATTATTGTTTGTTTTGAATATATAAGTAACAGTTTAATAAAAGGATTGGATTAATTAAATTTTGTACTTAGCTATTTCTTTTTATAATAAAAATTCATGATTCTAATTTTAATAACAGTTTATTTTATATATATTACAGGAACAAGGCGTTTGAATGGTTTAATGCCTTATGTTGTTATTCATTTTATTTTAATTTACACCATAATATCATTTGTTTTCACTTTTTCCTATTGCCCTAAAAGTGTCTTTTCATTTGGATTTCATGCCTCATTGATTAAGTCTTGAAAGATAATTGTTGAAAGTATATTTGTTGAATGTCCATATTTTCTGTTTAATACCTATCCCCTTCTTATTCTGTCAAAATGTGTTGTATTAGGGCATTATACTAATAAATATACTATTTTTTTTTTCTACTTTACTCTTCATTTCTATAGTCAGATAGTGTTATTAACAACTCCAATTCTGTTGAATAGGCAATCAGATAGCAACTAAAACACTTGGCAATTGGTCCTTAAGGAATCTAAGACCTATAATTGGGCCAGTAAGCTAAATAATAATAACAACTATTATTTATGGAAGAAAATGTTTTCTTATTTAAAAAAACGTTTTTTTTATTGTGTTTTTTTTCTGTTGGCATTACAGGCCATGTAAATCTTTTGCCGCCTTAAGTAACCTGCTCCATCTCCACTTGTCAAAAAAAATGATAAAAATTAATGACACTTTTTAAAAAAAGATTAAAATGGTCATTAATTTTCCGTAAGATTTTTCTTTTCTTCAAGTAAATTTTGTTAATTTCATAAAATCAATTAAATCATTTAGTCAATTTCTTGGTTATAGTGAAATCAAAGGGGAATAAAAAAGAAGTTATTTTTGAGAATGCAATAGAAACTTTATACTTTTTTGTGTTATGGTTTTTTGTTCTTCAGAAAAAAAAAATTTTCTCATGCCGTATGGTCATGACTCTTCCACTGTAAGACCTCTTGCAGTCCAATAAAGTTTTGCCAATTTTGACCAGTCAATATTGTCATAAGATTCGTGTTATTTAATCTAGACAAGGACATTCATATCATATAAATGACTTGATGTCACAATTGAGAATTTGCTGCATAATGAGAAGCGAGGGTCATCTCTCACTCTGATCCTGCAGAGGTGGGCATTTAAATAGTCATGGCCTGTGATTGATCGACAAGCGGCAACTGATTCATACCAGAGAAGATCAGGTGGAGGAACACGGTGGTTTGGATCAAGAAGGGTAGTCCACTTTTTTCTTCCTGCACATTATTGGTAAAATTGTTGCATTTTATCTTTCAGGACCATTTTAACACATCCTTTAGCAGCAGGAAATTTAGTTGCTGAGGGAGGCATGACCATCTGAGTTCCTTGTTTGACTTGGGAATCAGCACCTTAGACATAGAACTTGTTATAGTTCTGAATGCATTACTCTGTATTACATCAAGTTGCTTAACGGTTGATACGAAAGCAATCACCAATAGCTCAATTGCATACTCCATTGCCAGTCCCACATAAATCTTATAGGTGAGTGTATTGTTTCCTGTAAGTCTCTTCAGTAGGCCTAATGCTTTGGGTCTTTTTGATGTTCTGCTTTCTAGATGTCCATACCGCGTTAGACATGAATCAAGCTTGATACCTAGGTATGTGTCACAGTTTGTCTACTTTAATATATACTCCGTCTACATTGTGCTAATCTCCATTTCATTTTGCGTTACCCAGTCTGCAAGATGACCTAGTGCAACATTTAAGGTCGATTCAAGGGCAGGAATATTGCTTGAAGTTGTCCATTTAGCCAAGTCATCTGCATATAGGAATGCATTAACTCCTGGGACCAAGGAAACTGCAGAGATCATATCAACGGATTGTTTTTTAAATATTTTTATAAAATAATTGAGAAGCTTAATTTATTATGAATTTTAAATTTCTTATTCAGCAATATTTTGATATTTTATTCCCATCTATCCTCATGTGTATAATTCTTTAAAAATTATAATTTTATTTAATCACAACTCACATCTCCCATTTCCATTGTTCTTCCTCATCTTGCCTCAAGGTTCCTTCTGGTCTTCTTTCAAAGTAGCCCAACCAGTTAAATTCTTTCTTTAATATAGAATATCACTTTTATATCTTTGATTTTTTTACTTTTTTTCCCTTAACAAAGGATTAGGTCCATGCCATTAGAGAAATTAATGCATAATATCTATGTTAATGCATATATAGTCCAGTTAAATTCCACATATATTTTAGAAGTTATTAAAACATACATTTCTTATGAATTCCCCAAGAAATAAAAAAAAATGGCCCCTAAAGTAGTAGCAGGAAACAATTTTAAATTACTATAACTTTGTTAGTAGTTTTTATATAGAGCTTAGGTTAAACTCTATGAATAATACCAATAATAATACTGAGGAAGTGTGAATAATAAACAAATTTTGATCTTTCGTCTGACAATTATTATTAACTTTATTTCAAATTACATATATTTCAAAATTTGGCAATTAGCCATCTACAGCAACCTCTGTAAAAACTAACATTTATTGGCTTTAATAAACTTTTATATTATATTTACCATGGGTTTTCTAGTCATTATGCTGTTCAATTACTTCCTTATTTATTTATTTATTAAACTTAAATAACCAAATATTTTCTTAGTTTTGTCATTTATATTTGTCAAAGGCAATTGATAAGCTTAGAAAGGAGAATAACTATGTGGAATAATAAAAAAATGTAATGGTAATTTATAAAATGACAATGATAATTTATAAAGTGGGCGAGTATGATGGGTGAGGCAGTACCTCCCAATTCAATAAATTTTTTTAGGATTCGTCTTGCATTATCCTGTTGCAGAACAAGAACTATTCTTTTGACAGTTGTTGGCCTCTTTTCAATTAAAGATTGATTTTAAACAATCTAATTGTTCACAATAAAGGTCTGCATTCAAAGTTGTCCAAGTTTCAGCACTTTAAAATAAAAAATGTCGCTAATACTCCACCAAACACAAAAGAGCCTTTGGGGGGTGTAAACCTGGCTTAGCAGTACTTCATTCATTTGGAGAGAGCCACTGCCTTCTGTATTGTAGATTATCGTGGAGAAGCCATTTTTCTTCTCTGGTGATCAAGTGATCAAAAAACCTTTCTGTATTGTGCCATGAAGCAAAAAGTTGCATGTGGTGGATTAAGGCTAGTTAAGACTGTTCAACAATTCTTCGATTGTCTGACACACATTTGCTGCCACTTCCGCCCTCAACACATCATTGTCTAACGTTCTTGGTCTTCCTGATTGATACAGGTCCGAAAAATCAAAATTAGCGGATTTGAACTTGGAAAAGCACCTTTGGCGACACCTAATGCATTTGGGTAAACATCAAAAATGTTTTTGGTAACAACTGCTGCGATTACCCTCGCGAAACTCAAAAAGCATGTTATACCGGATATGTACCTCTTCTGTTATTTGGCTTGCCATTTCACCTAAAATTGCAACAAAAAAAAAATTTGAAATATTAACACAAACAACAAGTCACTGTAACCTTAAAATATCTTTGCCACCTCTTTGATGTACACAATAAGCTAGCAAATGACGATAAAATAGTGACATGCCCAGACACGGCATTACTTTCTGGTCCCCCTAATATAATACCAGATATGGTGGTTAATAAATCTTAATTTTTTCTTTAATAAAAAAAGTCTAAATTAATAAGAGAAAGGTAAATACTGGTTTATTCAGTTTCATTGATAGTTACACATTTTCCCCCATCTTTGATAATTTGTGGATTCCCTCCCAGAAAAATCTTTTGTGGTTTCCAATCATGAAGCCATTTCGACATCTCCAATAGTTATTAACCAAATGTAAATATAGTGCCTTGGACCCTTTTCGCTGTGTATGGTGGGATGTTGTGAAAATTATTTTTCCTTAGTTTGTAGCCTACTCTAGTTGCTTTCTGATCAATACATGATTCAAATTAATCGTTGGTTGACAATATCTACTGTTCCACCTTGTTTCAGAAGCTCATGGTATATGACAACCCTTCTGAACCCACCAGATGCACAGCAAATTCTTCTTTTTACAATTTGGTCAAATGGTCGATGTTGGTGATTTTCCTAAGCCAACACATGATTTTCTGAGTTTTGAAATATAACCAATAATTGGCTGGAGTATATTCAAGAAGGAGGTGGCGGCCTTAAAAAAAACTTAAAATAGTGGAAATTATTTTGTTAAGCCGACATTTTGACCCAACTATGAAGATTACAACGAACAAGATGCAAAGGCTATAGAAAACTGTAGGTGTTACAAGATAAGCCTATAAACATTGTACCTTACTCGTTCTAGTCCTGATGAAGACCTGCATAGTTGAATTGAAACATTAGTTTAATAAAATGGTTTCCACTGTTTTAATTTGTTTTTATTTTCATTTAGCTATGCATGTAATACACAGGGTGTTTCATGGTTTTCTCCAAACTGAAAAAATGAACTAAGGTCCTCAAAACAAGAAAAAAGTTTTATTTATTGAAATGAATTATATGAATATAACGTAAATAATTTGTAACAATTAAATCTTAAGGTGTGAACATCTCCTAAACAAAGCGTTTGTAGACATGCATTCAGAGGAAATTTTTTTCTTGTTTTGAGGTCCTTAGTTATATTTTGCAGTTTGGCCAACTAACCCTGTAACATCCTGTGTATTAAGAGAAAGTATTGCTTTTTTCGAATCTGAGTTTTCAACGGAAGTACACGTTTTGAGGTATCCTGAGTCCAAATAACCAAGTCCAGCAAAATTGCCGGTGTGTATGTGAATAGTCTAACTCAAAAATGAAAAGTCATATGAAACTGATATTAAGTATTTAATATAGGTATATGTCTTAGATATTTAGATAGGTATACAGCAACTTTTTTCTTCAAATCGGCTAACCTGAAGTACCACTTTATATCAACACTGAAACATATTTTAACAATTTTCTCAAAAACGGCTCTAACGATTTTGATTAAACTCGGTGCATCATTGTATAATTAAGTGGTATTTTTATATCAATTAGGTCTTATTCCCATTCATGTCACTTTACAGGGCCTAAATGCCAATGTTCATATTCGTCTTCCTTTAAAGTACCTTCAATATGAAGTATTTCATTATCTCACATTAGTAAGAGTTGGAATATAATATATGGTATATAAATATATATATATATATATATATATATATATATATATATATATATATTATATATATATATATATATATATATATATTATATATAACATAATATATATGGTTGGAAAGCAGAGGATTTTAGAAAAAACAATTGGTAATATAGAAAGTTGTAGAAGGTAACGTAGAGTGACGAAAAAGTTATAAATAATAATTTTTGAAAACTAATGATATTTAACGTAAATCACATGTTTTCAAAGAAATTAAATGAAATTGACTAACTAAATGTAAACTTTTAAAATATTTTTAAGTTTGAATAAAGTATTTAAAATCCATCTAATAATCTAGGCAACGACATTGTTTAAACAACTATTTCATTGTACTTGTGTGGAAGAAGAAGTGAAATATAAAATCATTTCGTGGATGAATAAAGCACATTTGTTTATAACCTTTAATACATTTACTGTTGTTCAATAATTCTAAATCTGATATTATATTTAAATAATTAGGTATCAACGTCCATTTATTCTGAACAATCGTCATGTAACTTTTTAGAAAATTAAATTAGTGAATAATCCCTTTGTGAAATCCCAACATTATCATGACTTCCTCTAAAGTATCTTTAATTTGGTTTATTATAAATAATAACTATTTCTCTTTATTAGGAGTTATGAAAAAATGCTAAGTATAACTTTTGAAAGAATTTAATTATTGAATAAAGGAGAAAAAAAGAAAAGTACTTATCTAGGCCAAAAATGAATATCCGGAAATAATAAATAATCAGAAGGTATAAGTATAATATATCGTTGGAAAGCGGATAATTAAAAAAAAAAAAAAAATAGTGTAGAAGGTAGTGGAGAGTGGCGAAAAAAAACATAAATAATAATTTCTAAAATTAACATAATTTTTTGTAAATCACTTGTTTTCAAGGAAATTAAATGAAATTTTCTTACTAAATATAAACTTTTAAAATTGTTTTTTAAGTTTGAGAAAGTATTTAAAATCCACGGATTCAATGCAATGACATTCTTTAAGATATTATTTCATTGTAATTGTGTGAAAGAAGAAGTGACATAAAAATGTTTCATGGACATGTTAATAACCTTAAATATATTAAACTGTAATAACTCTAGATCTAATATTATGTTTAAAATATTTGGTATCTATCGTTCGTTTATCCAAAATATCTTCATGTAACCTTTAAGAAAATTAAATTAGTGAATAATTTGATGAATTTTCCCTTTGTGATATTCCAATAGTATCCACTTACTTCCAGTGTGACAACTTTTGACCTGTCTTTGACAGACAATGCAAATCTCTTGATACAGTTTTAGTAAACTTTGCAATGGAAAATAACAGTTTAATAACTAATAGTCATTCAATCCATAATCAACTGGTGATATAATAAATAGAACTTTTGTTATTTTAATGGATGGTATTTATGACTTATTAGCTGTAAGCTTTTAGCTTTAGCTCGGTTAAAAATGAAATTCAAAAATTTTATAATAGACCAACATGGCCAGAAAATAATTTCTATTCAAAGTTGAGCTGTGAAAGTTGTGTGTTGCACGCACCAGATTTTTTTTAATTTATGACTTATTTTATCATCATGAATTATCTCTTTCTTCAATATGCAATGGTGAACTGTTGTGTATTCAATGGTTAGTTCATTCAATAATCTCCAGTCACGATCCAATGCAAGAAGTCGTTAAGTCCAAGTTTTATGCCAAGAAACCAAAACTCTATTTTTTATTTATTTTTTTTATTTGTCTGTCGTTCAACTGATGTGGTACCAATTTTTCTACTTTCTGGATCTTTTCCATGGCATGCAGATGATTGAACTTTTTTTTAGAGCCTGAAATTTTTTTAAATATTCTGTAATATATGATGTAATTCTTATCAAGAAAGTTCCATAGTTTTTTATTTCATTCACAATAATGGGTAATAGTAACAATAAAAATTAAATTTATCATCACTAAGCAATAGAAGCACAAGGAAGACCTTGTTTAAGAAGAAGCCATTGCTGCATCCACAGGAGTCAGATTCTCTGAATAATTTTCATTACATAAAATTGAAGTATCATTTCAAATTAACTTTAAACATTTGAAAGTTTAAAAATGATTTGATGCATAAAATAGATGAAGCTGTAATGAAATGTAATATTCTAAAAAAAAATTCTATGATACTTTTTTAAAACTAAAAAAAATGTATTGCTTTTAGCATGGTAAGGATTAAAAATAGCCATCTCTTAAAATTTATATTTTTACTTTCACTTACCTATATATGAAATATATAGTAAGGGAAAGTATTGCGATCATGAAAATTTTCGAATCCGAGTTTTCAAGGGAAATAACCGTTTTGAGGTCCTCTTGAGTCTAAATAACCAAGACTCAAAATGATTTATGTGTGTTAACAGACTAGCTCAAAAAGGATAAGTCATACGAAAGTGAAATCACCTATTTAAGGTTTGTATATACCTGGGATGTTACAGCAACTTTTTTTGTCAAAATTGGCTAAACGGAAGTGGCACTTTACACATTGATTTAGTACATTTTTACGATTTTCATAAAAATGGCTGTAACAATTTTGGTTAAATTCATTGTATCTGTATAAAATTAAACAGTTTCTAATATAATGTAGGTTTTATATTTGGAATAATTAACCATTTCACATTAAATACTGATATTCGATATTTCTGGGATGGAAGTTTTGAAGGTAGAAACACTATTATAAGCTAATAAGTTAAACGATATGAGCTAGGGGATGGTAGCCTCTGATGTAACCATGTCTCCACTCTGGTGATGTAACTCTGTCACTTTTTTTTAATGCTAATTATCTTTTCAAATATGCATCAAAATAATTCAGGACTTGTTGTGATTTTATTTTTATAACCTAATCTTCACTGTCAAATTTTAATTAAGAATTCATGTAAGTAGCTAATTAAATAATTTTCATGACCAATTATATTGAATTGTTTTAGAGGTTGAGAAGCAGCTTCAAGGTAGTTCAACTCCTCAAATGTCCTATAAGAAACCGCATAGTGGGAGTACAGGAAATATCAATAACATGGTCCTTGTAGCTGATCAAGTTCAAAGTAAGTTCTTAGATTTCCTTGATATAAAATATAAGATAAAATTCTTTTAATTAAACTGCTAATTCATGAGGTATGAAACATTTATAATTTTACTTTCACTTACTTATATATATAATATATTGGATGGGAAAGTATTGTGATCATGAAAATTTTCAAATCCAAGTTTTCAGTTAATATGTAAATTTTGAGACCCCTGGTGTCCAAGTAATCAAGTTTCTCAGAATTGTCTGTTTGTATGTTTATCGCCACTCTTGTCGGACTAATGAAATTTTGCGGCACTAAATTATTTATTATAATTAAAACACACACTCATAGATGGAAATGGTTGTTAGTGATGAAAAACACATAAATTTAATAACTTAGACAGTTGGGAGAAATGACATTTATTTATAAGATTAAATGATCTACGATTCTGAATTTAATTTTTTTTTTTTTAAATGAGCAACAGTCTAGGAGGGTAACCCACATAAACATATGTAAGAGGGTAAGTTTACAGTGGATCTGAGATGAGTTAGCCTATAGGAGAAGGGAGCTCGCGTCACCTTTTCCCACTCAAGTTTCATCTCCATAATGCCTTATCATGAATTTATATACATTCATAATTAAGTTTTGGTCTGTAAGTGGATAGTTTTCTCTCTACCCAGTTTACTTGACATAGTAAACAAAAATTGGTAAATGAAATGAAAATGTCTGCCAAGTAAGGTCAGTATAGCTTCCTCACCGTTTCCGCTGTATATAACAAGGTATACAATTTTTCGTATGAGAATAAAATCTCTGAGAGAAGAAGAATTGGAATAGCCGATTACAGTTACCCTTCAACATTCAACAAAAGAGTGTCGTATTTGAAGATTCCATACTTGATTATGCTTAATAAAAAATGCATACTGAACATGAATTTCAATACTGTTAGTGCAAAAGGTCTTACGTACAAATTTATTTATTGTTTTACAAGAGTGTAAAAAACTCATAATTTCTTTATGCTTTATTAGAATAATTTCATATTTTATTGTCATCTGCTATTTTCCATAGTAGCAGACTACTTATATCAGATGCAGACTACAAAATGTCACCATTAACACATAGAATTAAAGCTGAAAATTTTTACATTCGAACTTTTGCTCTGATAATAGTGATATACACTACCGGATCCAGATTAAATTTTGGGGGAGGAGCTTCAGCATGAAAGATTATGATATATATATATATATATATATATATATATATATATATATATATATATATATATATATAATTAATTTGAAAAAAATCCATTGCAAATTATTTCACTATGGTATATTATTTCCAAACAATTATACATATAAAGTAACATTAAATTCCTAGTTATAAAGAAAAATAAATAAAAGGTGATTACAATTATTGGACTAAACTTTTTTTTAATCATTAATAATATGCTAAAAAATAGCATTACTTCAGTAACACATTCAAAAATCAATACAAAAGATAAACCTTTTGCAATAGCACATCTAAAAAAAAACTATAGACCACATCTTTGCTCCTAATTGTCCGATTTTAACGATTTTTTTTTTGTTTTTTATGAAATTCCGCAAACTTATAAAAAACCATATACAATATTAACAAAAATGTGTATACTTCTTGAGTTATTCGGAATTTAATTTTACCATCCCTCGTAACTTTTTTTTGAGCTTCTTTTCGTTGAAGTATGTTATATAGATAAATTTAAAGGGAAAAAATGACTTTAGCGAAGTTTCATTAAAATCGGTACATTCGTTTAGGCGCTACCGTCTATAGCAACGCAGGTTTTTCTGCCGCCGTTTTGAAACAAGAAAGCGAATAGTAATGTCGTTGAAGGATGATCATCCTCTGGTGACCTCTGATTTTATATCCAAATTTAAAAACAATCGGTCCAGTAGTTTCGAAAAAAATGCGCGGACGGCGGACAGCGGGCTAGTAGTGCATATATAAGAGAAAGTGGTGGACAGAATTCAATAAAATTGACACTCCGTTATTTTTTCACCAAAGTCTACCTTTTATCTAACTTTGAGCCAAATCGAACGAGCCCTTTCTGAAATATTGGCATATCTAAACATATACGTTTGCGCGTGCGTTAGCGGAAGTGCTGGGTGGAATTTGATAAAATTGATATGGGACCATCTAGGCACCAATCAGCATAATCCCTGAAAATTTCATGAAGATAGGATGAACAGTACTGGGTGATATGCCCGTCACATCGATTTGACTACAGACAGACAGACAGACACCGAACCAAATTTGATCCTTGATGTCTGAAACGTAAAACGCGACTGAAAATTTTCGATTCTGAGCAAAAAAATTTTTTTAATCTCACACGAACACAATGCTTCCCCACCTTCGGTAGTGAGGAAGCAAAAAAAAATTATAAAAGAAATTTCTACTCATAAAACAAATTGCAGAAGTGTGAATGAGTAGAGAAGACAAAAGCGTGGAGGATCGGTGGGAAAATAAATTAATGTTAATAAATTGATTTTTTTTTCTGATAAGCAATATATTAATATTTGAGTGTTGCTATTACAAATCTAATTCTTTAATCTTAACAATCTTCACCTTCTTTCAAATATTAAAAACATTATGGCATGAAATTTGATATTTACATTTTTATTCTTTAATGATTAAAAATATTGAGGCTCGATATTTCAAATCATTATTTTGATATATTAAAAAATTTATGAAAATAATACATATTGATTTCTTTTTTTTCTTTTTTTTTTAACGAACCAATGTTTGAGAAAAACCTCTTACTTCCTATTTTATAGACTCAAATATTTGCCTTTTCTGTTAAATATAATATTTTTTCACACAAATTTGTTTCCCCAACAGCTGAAAGTACCACTGTTAGTAAACTCTCAACATTTAGCAGTGTAAGGGAAGGAGGAAACACTCCAAATTCTACTAGTGCTACTTCTGTTAAAAGCAACAACCCAGTACAGATGAGGAGAACTACAAACAGAAAGGGAAAAACTGCACCAGCTCCTCCTAAAAGAACTAGGTAGTAGTTTTCTTCCTATATTTAAACTAAGGCTGTTTAAAATAACTAATAACTTAAATTAATGAATATGTTAATGACATAGTGCAACAATACATATAAATATATAATTAGTAATACAATTTTTAGTAACATTTTCCTTTTTTTATAAATATTTTAGAGGTATTAAATAAATAACAATATAAATTTGCATTAACATTTTTCTATAGTAATCAATTATACTACTTTACAGTTCGTTGAACATCCTTTTATGAAATAATATATTTGATTTAATTTAATTTTTAACTGTCCATCTTCAATATGTCTTCTCCGGTAATGTCGTCCCTCGATTCAACAATAAATATCTTAAAGAACTTATTTCTGAGTTCAACAAATTTGCTGCATTGGCTGGATAATGCTGTTATATATGAATCAAGAACATTTAGAAAATAATACGGAAACAGAGGGCCTAAGGGAAAATATTCGGTGGTTGGAGACTACAGGATATTTGTTTGCTATAGATGTACATCTGATCAGGAAAACTAGAGAAATAATTACGAAGACCTAGGGACTGGCTATATGTTCTTATATTTAGTTTAAATCATAAGTTCTAAGGCTTAACATTTGCATTTGTTATGAAATTGGCAATGGATTGATTATAATATTCAATATTTTAATTTTACAATGAATCTTCTTGAATTCAAGAAATTCCGTTGTTAAATTTGAATTTTTTTATTCTTAACAGTTTACTGTCTTCATGCAGTTCATTTCGTGATTCAACTTATGCTGACCAGGAACAACCACAGGAAGTGATCAATTCTGAAGAAACTCAATCAGCACTTAATGGTATTGAACTCATTTTTGAAGGTAAAATAATTATAAAAAAGAAAACTTGGCATGGTTTAGGACTCCGTGATTTCATTATTTTCTCATACACTCACCTCATTAATTATGAAAGTTAGTGTAAAACAAACTGTCAATAGCTGGGTTATGTGTACAGTTCTAAATGTTTTATTAATTTATTTTTGGTTGTTGAACTGAGAAATGTTTATTGTTCATTACAATAATAATTTTAAACATTCTTCATGCATTATTTAGTTCCAAATTTACTAGTTTATGTTCATTAACTGGTGTAATAATTGTTCTAACATTTATAAATAATTGTTTTTGAGTTAATATTTGTTTGTTTTGTTTTACTTCAAAATTAGTTACTATTTAATTTAATCAAATTTTAATTAAAATTAGTAATGTTTTTTTTCAAGAAGTTACTCTAGAAAAACTTTTATAATTAATTCTTGTGTTTTTTTTTTTAAATAACCCAAATGAGGAAATTTATGATGGACTATTTATACTCTATTCCCTAAATTTTCTCCCACTTTGTCCCAAATCAGACAAGCCTTTTTTGAAGTATAGGCGTATCCAAGAAATATATTTGTACACACATAAGCAAAAGTGGTGAATGGAGTTTAATATGATTGAATATGGAGGCTGTCTAGTTGCTGACTTATCCAATCTCTGAAAATGTCATATAAAGCTGGTGCTTGTCACAACTTTCGCTTATTACCCTATTTTTCAATTATAGGTAGGTAACTGATAATAAAAATTTAGATGGTACTATGTAATCATTAAAAACAAAAGTTATCATACAATTTCCCATCTGTCTAATCCATTAGTTTGTTTCTGTCAATTCATTTTCTGATTTAAGACAGTAAATTAGTAAATAAGATAGTAAATTTTCTGAAATTTTTAGGATTCCAATGGTACATTAAACATGTATAATATTATTTTTATTTTCAGAAATTTGTCTTAAAACTAGGAAAATATTTCTTCTTTTCAACTTATACGTTTGTTTGTTTTTATATCCATTTAAGTCTTTCAATAAGGATAAAATCTTACTGACATTAAAGACTCTTTAATTGTTCATAAATATAACATTTAGTCAAAATTTTTGAGCTGATTTTGAGAAAATTGTAAAAAAGTTCAAAATCTTTTATATAAAGTGCAACTTCCAGTAGTTCGATTTCTGCAAAAAAGTTGCTGTAATATCTTAGGCACTTATCCTGGCTCTTAACCTGAAATATGTGATTTCAGTTTTATACAACTTTTGGTACTTGTTAAATAAATAGTGGGAAGCATCGGACTGCTATCTGCCAATGTTTATAACCTTAACACTGATAACTCTGATAAACCACTGATAATATCTTCATATTTATACTTATTGTATTATATTCATATTATATCTTCGTATTCATATTTATTGTATTGTATTGTTATTATTGAAATTGTAAACAAAAACAAATGTAATAATAAAAAAATACTTTTATTTTACAAGATTTATATCAAATAGACCAAAACATTATACATATATAATTAAAAAACATTACTACATATATATAAAAATAAATGAAATAATATACATTTTTACATGTCCTCCAATTTTTTTACGTGACCTGTATAACATGTTATGGGCACAAACCTCTCTTAAAAATTTGTTCCATGTTACGATAGTTGCGTTGGATAGTTTGAGCTGCTCTTTCCCGCACTGTTTTGTTATTTAATTATGTGACCACCCATAAATGAATTTTAGAGCCGTTAAAAAAAAATCCTCGACCCCTCTTACCACATTACTTTTCTTATAGAAACCGTTCTTTTCTAAGTATTTCCATTTAATCTTCCCATTGATCTTCATTTCATGACCTTCATCATAATATTTCACCTTTGCAAATATCCCAGCGTCTTGAAAATATTTATGAAAATAGGCTCCTCTTCAGAAGACGGCAATTCCCACAATGTAACAACATCCATAATTAAATAAGACTAACTCACAGCTTACACAAGGAACAAAAAATAAACAATGGAATAACTTAGGTTAGAGGAGATAAGAAGGGAGGTTATGTGAAATAAGATTAGATAACAAAGGAGGTTTCAATGCTACCCCCAATTTAGGAAGTACCCAACTTTTTGAGCTAGGCTATTCACATGCAGATGAATAATCATGATTCACAAATCAATTTGTGAGATATGGTTATTTGGTACTAAGGAACCTTAAAATATGTATTCCTATTGATAATTCAGATTTGATTTTTTCGTGATGGCAATCCTTTTCCTTAGATATGATTAATCACCTGTTATGATAATTTTTAAGGAAGTTGATAGTGCAAAAAGATGTATTGTCAACAGTTTGCCCAATTAGAATTTTGGTTTCATATTTAGATTCATAACAGTTTGTTCTATTATGTATAAAACTGATTAATGTTCAGTTTGTTTCCGTTTCCCACATAAACTAGATCCTATTCTTTTAACTCTTATTACTTAACATTATGATCTATTCAATTTTTATTTTGTTGAAAATTTCTGTGTGTGTTCTTTAATACTTTTATCTTTAAATCATGATCTCTTTTCACTTATATTGGTACGATTTCTGATGTCTGCCCATGTAGTAAACAACTGTAATTTCAAATGGATATTCTTTTAGTCCTAATTTTGACAATAACCCAATTGGTCATTCTGGTTGAGATTTATTTTTACTTGCATTGCTTACTATACTGATATTATTTTTATTTTTTTATCCTACGCCTTTTTACTTTCGGCTTCCACCATGGGTCCTTCTAAGAGCCCAATAAATACCTGATTTTGATTAATTTGTTGTTGCTTTACCTGTCAAACCAGAACATGATTCAAGGTGCACTGATTACCGGTCTAGAAACTGCTAGAATTATGGATTGGAGTCTACTTAGAGTCAGCTAAATGGCACAAATTTCACTTTCGAAATTTGAATCCTCAACTAGCTCTGCTATTTGGAAAATGGTAGAAAACACACCATTTTTCATTGCTCATCTCTGCCTTTAATATGGATCTTTCAAGTTACAATTGGATTGGTACCAGTTTCGTTTGTCTTTCCGGAGGAAACATAGGAAATACCTCTTTACAGAAATTTGTTTGTTTTCTGTCATGTAAAATATGTTCGACTTTATCAATGAACATTGTTTGGGTTTCAATTTTCCTGTTACTAGTGAATAGTTTATACAATAGTCTATAGGCAATTTTTCATGAAAGTACAGTGCATTCTTTCTCCTTCAAAGCTGAATGGTTCCATGCAAGTCTGGATTTACATGGTTTCATGGGAGTGAACATAGGTGCACCAGTTATAATTTTGTGAGTTCTGAGAATATTTTGAACTTTCTCCACCCTTTTCTGGATTTTCAGATGCTTTTATTAGGAACACTTAAATTTCTCCCCATATTCGAATGTTGGGTATACAAAGGATTTATAAGCAAGTGATAACATGTCTTGCATATCCTTTCTTTACTCATTTTTCAGAATGTCCTTCCCACATTAATTGGTTGTCTAGCTTTACACCCAGGTAGTTGGCAGAATTTGTAGGATTTATGTGCTAGTCCCATTAAAAAGTTAAATGTTTATAAGTTTTTTGTGTTGTGAAAATAATTGGTACTACTGAGTTTCGTTAGTGGGTTTTTGTAGGGTTTATTAATATTTTGTTATCTTCTGACCATGTCCTGAGATTCTTTAAGACTATTTTTATAGAAATTTTCCAGGATATCTTAAGATATTAAAACTAGATCTTCAGATCACTAGTTCATTAGCAAAAAGTAAACCTTTGTTTCTCAGGTTTAATATATCCAAATATTGAATGAGATTGTTTATCATTATAGTGAAGAGGACCGGACTTACCATAGAATCTTGAGGAAGACTTCATTTTGTTTGTTTGTGTAAGGACGTGCCACTTCTGTATCTGACCCTTATAAACGTGCTTGGAAAGAAGCTATGAATATATATAGATATTAGAGAACGACTGATACCGATATTAAATGCCGATATACTGGCCTTTTTTTTTTTTTTAAAGCTTCATCTTAGATTTTGAGCAGATACTGATAAGGATTATCAATATAAATAATATTCCAAATGAAATAAATTCTTTTATTTAGCAATGAGTAGGATATTCGATGTGAAACTGTACAAACTTTAAAGAAAAGGGAAAAAAGGCCGATATGGCCAATATTTCAGTATCGGCCAAAATTTCGATAACTTCATATCCAACCAATTTGGAAAAAAATTTTTCTCCAGATGTGGTTTTTCAATAAAGGAAACACCTCCTATGAACTTTGTTTTCTAAACTTTGTCATACTATATTTCTGGATGGTGCAAAATGCTCAGCTGCATATCAAAATTATCTGAAACCTGCCCGGGACTTAAAGAAACTTTTATATTTGCTTCCTAGAGTCTACCATTTGTTCCATTAACTTTCAAAAACAGCTTGTTAATGATATAGGTCTAAAGTTTTCTGGTTTATCTAGAGTTTTACATTTTTTTAAATAATCGGGATGAATTCTGCCTTTCTCCATTGACTTGATAAGTGGTTTTTCCAAATACTGTTGATAAAAACAACGAGGACAGTGTGGGCTTTGTTCCCAGTATTCCTGATAAATTCTGACATTATTCCATCAGAATCATCCCTCAGTTCAATCTTTGCAATGCCATATCCAGGTCAGTAGGTATAAATTCAGCATTATAAAGTTTGTCTTGTTCTTTTGTGAGGCATCTTTGAGGTAAGAATATATTTTGATATTTTTGCATGGTTGAAAATTGTAAATGGCAGTTATATGTAACGAAGTGTTGGCATTATCATTTTCACTAGTGAGAATTTTTTCTCCATTAACCATAGAGATCACGTTCATTATTCAGCTTGGAAAGAAACTTGTGAGTCTTTATACCTTCTTTTCTAAAATCTAATCCCCGAAGAAAGGAGAAAGGATTTATGTTATCTGCTGTTCTTTTAGCTTCTTTTATTTTATTTTTAAGAATTGCAGCTTTTGTTTGAGATTTGTTCTGGTTTGTTTCATTCCCTGCCTCTTGTCCCTTTCAATTTTAAGTTTATCCAGCTCTTAATTAACAAAAGATGTAGGTATACCTTCTTGTTCTTAACTCTCGGTATTGAGTGTCTTGGGGAACGTTTTATGGCTGAGGAAATGTTTTCAACTCTGTTACAACTTTTTCATCGAAAACGGCTAACCGGAAGTTTCACTTTATATCATAGATTTAATATAATTTTACAATTTTCTTGAAAATGGCTCTTAACGATTTTGATTAAATTCATTATATCAGTGTAAAATTAAGCGGTTTTAATACAATGTTGGTCTCATTCTAATCAATATTCTCTATCAGTGTTTAAATGCCTAATTTCCAAAACTTCTTCCTTAAAGTACCTTTATTTTTTTTTATTTAGAATAATTAACCACTTCACATAGCGAACTAATATAAAAAATTCTTAAATATAGTGAATGAAGAATATTTATTGGTACCTTAAGGAGAAATAAGGGTTGAAAGCTATACGGAAACAGCTGAGAGTGCCCGACCTTCTCAACAAATAAATATTACCTCAACAAAACAGTTTCCTTTCCTCTTTTCCTTACACCTGTTTAGTGTGGTTCTGTACTAATTGTATCCAACAATAATTAATTAGTTTCTATTTTCCTCTAGTATAAAATCTATTTTATTGTCTTAAAACATTTCTATTACTGCTTAATTTTGATTTTAATGAACTAATAATATTTTCACTAATTTTTTTTATTATTTATAAATATAATAATCTGTCACTTGGACGATAATTATAGTGAGATAGAATTTTCATTAATTAAAGAAGAAGTAAAATCGTATATAGTATATATACGATCATAAAATAATATATAGCTTTAACTGCTTTACGTTTATCTAATATTACTTATCATCCTGTCTCGTTTTAGTGTTAAACAAATATTTCTCTTTAATTTCATATTCATATTCTGGTAAATTAATTTTACCAAGTTATGTTTTTCCTCTGTTTCTACATAGCTGTACAGAGATGCATCTGGTTTGTAGCCTAACATTTTACATAAAGGACATTGTTTTTTCTCAAAATCTAATGGCTTTACTAACTTTCTTTTATCATCCTATTTCTTCTTCTTGTATCAAATCTTCCTTTAGGTATCAATTTCATCTCTTTCTAAATTATCCTGTTTATCTATAGGTATGTTTTATTTGATAAATGCTAAATGTTTGTGGATTATCTTTGTTTGCTTCCAGCTATAAGCAATCTTTTTTAAGAACAAATTCAATTAAAGAACCAAACATATATTTGATTGAAATATTGTCCCAACCGCATACCAACTCTTTGTTAAAATTAACTAATATTTTTCAATATTCTCAGATAGCTAATGGTAATTTAATTAAATTAGCGTTGTACCATTGCATCAATCACAAATTTTATTATAACTTTAATTTTCTTATACCACCTGTTCTATGAAATCTTTCTTACCATTGAACTTAAATAATAAAAAAATTTATTTAATTTTCCTTAAACTAATTTCATTAGCTGCTGAGGTATGGTCCTCTGATTTTTTTAATTTGTTCAATAAAAAAAATCAGCTTATTTCATTAGCTGACTTTGCCTCTTCTATTATATTGCATGCAACACTTTTCTCTGTACGTTCCTCGAGGTAATTATCAATAGTACAAAAATTATCTTCCTTATTGCAGTACTTTTGCTAAAATACTGAGTTAAATGAAACACCAACTTAATTATTCCTCCCTAATCTAATTAAAAAATGGATAATACTCAATAATAGTCTTAATGGTCAATAACTCCTAATGTAAAGCAAGATCCTTTAATTTACCTGAGACAGCATACAACTATACAATTTTGTCGCTAGACAAAGCCTTCAATTCATTCTTATTTTCACATTTTTCAGTGATGTGCTCATATAATTTTTCCTTCTGTAAAGCCATTCTTAATGACAGTTGAACAATTTTTAATTTAATTTAGTATTTGATGTACAAGGAGTTAAATAATGTGTACAAGGTTTATTAATCTTCACTACACAATGAATTCTTACCTAAAAACAAGAATTATTTTACAGCTTGATTAACTTTAATAAATATCTTTAATCTGAACACATTATTCAATTACACGTGATACCGAGTTAACATTTGATATCGATTGTTCTTCTCCTACAGTATTATATTACCATTTGATATATGAAACGTTTATGTATCTTATGATAAGATGTAAATGAATTGTACGTAATATTTTCTAAAAAAACAAAAAACAGCCAAGTTTCCTTTTTTTATTTAGATCTTCTTAAAAGTATATTAGAATTGAAAATATATAACATAAAACCATTAAATGAATTTTATTTTCAATTATATATTTTTTAAAATTCTGTCTGACGGAATAGTATTGTAAATTTTTAATATGTTTAATCATAACCGTGATTTTAGTTGTCTTCCTATCCAACTGAATTTCAATATTCAATTCCACAATTGTACAATTTAACATAAAATTTCTTTTCTTTGAAGGGCTCACTAAAGAACTTCAGTCATTAGGGCAAAAGACAGATTCTGAAGAACAGAACACACCTGATACAGATGAATCTGGTGGAACTCAATCATTCCCAGGTGAAGGTTTTAAAAGGGCACAGGCTCAAGAACATCCACCAAAGGTAATAAATTCTTTAACCTTTTAATAAGAACTTTAAAAACTTGTTTATTAAAATAGGTTCAAAAAGGTTAGTACTAACTGTTGTACATGAGCTATTATGTTAAATTACATGTGTTACAAGAGGTTACATTCATTGTGTTCTCTAGATGAGACTTAAAATTGTCTTATTTGTAATGAATAAAGTGGTGACAAGAATATAACAGAATTGTTAATAGTTGTGCCATTCTGTAAGTATCTTGTTTGAAGTAAATTACTTTTGAGATATAATCAGATATGAAAACTCTTTTGGCTACCTTAACCCCTATTGTGCAATAAAACAATTAATTTCTAAAGTTTGTGATGGTGAATCAACAACCACAATCTACCGATTTTGAATACTATGATGAGTCAAAAGAAACCTTTCATAAATATCAAAAATTGATTAGATTTGAGGGACATTTACAATGAAAAGGGCATGTCTATAGGTCCAAGAACTTTTACTGCACATTGGTCCCCATTTGCAGGGTGTATGCTCACTAACTTACCCTGAAAATCTTGCTAACATGAAGTATGACAGGTTAGTAAATATTTTAGAGAAACATCTTTGCCTTAACTTAATCATTATAATTATACTACAGAACAGTTTTCTATCTCAAATACAAAATGAATTTGAATCTTATAAGTCAATACAAAGCTCAATTATGGCAACTAATACCAGGTTTGAATATGAATATTAAAAAAAAATGTTTCAAGCATATTCCTAAGGGCACAACTTATTTGTAGATTAAGAGACACGGATAAAGTTTTTGGATACCAGATTTGAAAAAATAGTCAAAACAGCAAAAATTGGTGAAATGGCAAGTGATATAGCAACTTCAACAAATTTACTTCCCTGATCATGTTCAGATGACCGAGAGGCATAGTAGTAGTTTTAATCAAGAGGGTTGGGGTTCACCATAAATGCATAGAAATGCCAGAATCAATTTCAAGTCACAACATAGTAAAGAATTGTCTCTAAACCACAGATCCAACTACTGTAGCACCTTTAAAAAATTAAAACAGGCTGATTTCTCTTTGGCAGTCTGTCCTATTCATAGCTCCTAGTAACATCACATCCTTCCTAATTTCATCCTCTCAACGGCTTCATGGTCTTCTTCTTGTTCTCTTGGCATCAATCACTACATCCAATATCTTCTGCTGTAATCTATGTTTATTCATCCATGTAACGTGTCCTGCCCATCTTAATCTGCATGTTTTTATGCAGTTATTTATACCTTTGTTCTTTAAAAGCTAATGTATTTTGTCATTCATCTTTATTTTTGAGACTATGTCGACAAAAATTTGCACTGCACATTCTCTTGACTATTTTTCCTTCAATAGCCTTTAATTTATTACTATCTGCAGCAGAGATGCACCAAGTCTATGCGCCATAGGTAACTATGGGCCTAACCAGAGTATTTAATAATCTCATTTTGGTCTTCTTGGACAATAGTTGTGAGCAGAACAACTTTAAATATGCACGATTCTCTAGCATAATTCTCCTTTTAATCTCTGAGTTATTTTGTTGTACCAATATGAAGTTATTGACACATTTAAAATTTAAATTGTACGTAAAATCACAAGTAGATCTCTTGCTCAAGTATAATTTGCAGCACCTCTTTTAAGAAAAAAAAAATTCTGGCATTAATCAGCATATACATATGTTTGCCACATCGTATTAATTATAGTAGGTAGTGCATCCCCTTGTCAAATGCCGGAGAGGACACCAAATTTCTCATCTACAGTCTTTCCTACCATTACCTTTGAGCACACTTAAATTACTACACATTACTTAAATTCAACTGAATAATTTTTATCAGCTTACACAGGATATTATTTTTATATATTTTTTTATATTTAATCAACTTGCTCAGATTTAGAGGGGCATCATTTTTTTTAGAGTTATAGTGACTTTAACTTTTATGCACCTGCAGGAGCCATGAGAATACTAAAGATGAATCTTATAAAGCAATACATGCTTTTCTTCAATTTCATCTTCAGCCTTGCAGATAGCCCTCTATACACCAAGCAACCATAGTCAAAGTGGGGGAAAACAAGAGAGATTACAAGGAGCTCTCCGGAGTTTTTAGGAATATAATCCCAGAATATATATTTTTTTTTAAGGGTAGTTCTGAATTTCTGGGGAATGTGGTTATTCGGGGAGAGGCTCTTACCAAAGTTTAACCCTAGGTTTTTGACTGTCAGGGGAAATGTAGGGGTCGGTTATTGAGGTAAAGTAGAGAAGAGTAACAAAGGGAACTAATAAGATATCTACAACCGATGAGAATAGCCTTAGTTTTATCATCTTCAATCCATTTATTTGTTATCATCTTTGGATGCAATGATATCCTCTTATAGCTTTCAAAGAGCCTCAAGATTCTCTGAAGATTGGAAAGATTGGTAAAGTTGTAAATCATAATGGGAATGATGAATGAAGTCAGGAAGATAGCTAATATAAATAGAAAACAGGGTTGGAGAGATTGAGGAGCCCGGAGGAACACCTCATGCTAGTTGCAGGATTTCTGAGATTTATTAACGATGACAACTAGGAGTGTTGGGATAAGAAGGAGAGGAACCGTTTTATATTGCTATTATTTGATATAAGCAGGCTTTGAAGTGTGAAAAGGAGGATATTATGATTGACAGAATCAAAAGCTTTTAAAAAGTTGAAAAGGATTAGGATAGAGATTTTCTGTTTATCTATGGAGTATGAAGTTCTTGGGTAATTTTTAACAAGATGGAATATGGGGAATGAAAAGTGTCTTGTAAAGGATTGAAGAGACGGTTTTGCTTGAGAAAGTTATTCAGCTGAGAGTGAAATAATCTTTCCAGTGGCTTAAATTAATTGGAGATGGGTCTGAAGTTGGAATCAGATGAAGGAGCAGCAACTTTGTTCAATGGACAGACAACGATTTTTTCCAGACTCTGAGGAATATGGAATTTTGGATCGAGAAATCATATATATGCAAAAGTGTAGGAAGTTATAGACACAATGTGATATGAATAATGGACAGAAATGTTGGGAGGTAAAGAATATTGAGGATGGGAAATTTATTGGGATGTTTTAAAAGATTCAGAATTTGAAAATAGACCCCAAGGATAAGTTTTATTTGTTTTTAGATTTACTAGTTGATATTTGAACTAGATGTACATGCTTCCAGAGAAGAGTCATTTGTGATGGTTGAAAAAGGAGGCTAGAATAGAAATTTTATCAAAATTAAATATATAGTTTTGGGAAAGCAATGTTCAGATAGTTTGGGCATTAAAATGTTTATGTTGGGGGATGCGGTCTTTTAGATTTTTGGTTTCACCAATATTAGAGGAAGAACAGTTTAAAGTGGAACACAAGATGTAGTATACAATATGAGAGTGGTATAAAAGAAGAACAGGTTATAAAAGTGTAAAGGTTAGAAAATATGTTATAAGATTTGAAGGATTCGTAAGATCGGATTGGTGGATCATAAAACTTTATTGATGTTGTCAGGAATATGAGGTAGAGATCTGTATATCGAGGTAGAAATGGGTTTTGGAGGTTGAGAATGGAAAAAAGGAAATAAAAATAAATATTTAGTTATTTTTACTTTGTGTTTTTATTGACTGAAAACCACAATTCTGGCTGGTTTTGATGACTTTTCTTATTTAATATACTTTTGCAGGACTTTATTTTATGTGGTAAATATTTGAAATTTACCTAAAACCGACAAACATACAATGAAAATGGCTTTGCAAAATCAGAAGAAGAAATTTTCAAAGGTGCTTATGTAAAATCTACTTTTTGCTACTAAATATAGATTTTTTGAAATAGATACGTCCAAACTTTATTCATTGCTGTTGGCAGTGTTATGTTTCCTTTTATTATAATTGGTACTCCAAGAACAACATTTGTTCAATGAAATGAAGAGACAGTGTCAACCAATATCCCAGTTTGTTTCCTTGAGAATAAGACCTGTAAGAAAAATATGTTTTCATATTTATTAATTCTATATAGTTAAGTTTATAGATGATTTCTAATTTAAAAAGACTGTATAGTGGTATCATCTCTTCTTATCAAGTAACTTAATCTAAACTCATCTGTATATATTTACAGGTTCAGGTTGCAGCACTGGAAGTTCAGAATGTTCGGAAGGCCATCAACCGATACGGGACATTGCCAAAAGGAGCTAGGATAGGAGCATATTTAGAATCTTTAAGGCAAAATAATTTACCACCAGAAAACAATAACCCTCCTGGTAAATATGATATTCATGAAAAAATTACTTTTTTGTTCTTTTATTTTCTACTTTAATCTTAAACTACTTAACTACATTGGTTGATCAAACAATAATCGTTTGATGTTATCAAACAGGAACTCAAAAGTCATTTATTAGTTACAAAATAAAAAATATTGTCTTGGTATGGATTTTTTTTAAGTTCAAGCTCATTATGCTCCTCAACTATTTAACACCACTAAAAAAGCAAACTTAATAGCTTCATGGTCTGCTTTTCAATGGTATTCCCAGTAGGAAATTCAATGTATATGCGACCACCTCCATTCTTAGTTGCTTCTATGGTCTTGTCGATTTGATGGTGTGGCTTTAAGTACAAATTATTTTAGAATTAAATTTTTTCACTCAACAATAATTATTAGAAGATTTTTAATCATTTGTAAATTAAATCTTGGTTACTTGTTGGTTCAAGAAATTATTTTTAAACTATTAAAATACAACCATGATATGATTTTTTCTCTGAAGAAAAATAATTCTCAGATTCAATTCCTTACATTTTCCTATTATTACTTTTATTATCAACATCTGAGAACTGTAAATTGATTTTGGATGAATAATATTTATTTTTTAATTTATAGCTGGTAATGAGACTCCACCAGCTCAAAGATCACCAAGAAGTAAAATTCAGGCACCAGGTCAGATGATTCGATCGAATTCATCAGGAGGATTCACTCATCACCATCAACCTCCTAGTTCTCCTAGATCAAGGGCTAGGGCTGGTCAACCATCATTAGCAGACTTGGAATTCCCACCGCCACCTCCTCCAGAAGAACTTGATCAACCACCATACAGATTTGGTGTAAGTTTGCGTAAGAGGGAGCCTTCAACTGATTCTTGTAGTTCAGCTAAGTCTGAGCCTGCCCGGCGAGGCTCTAGGCCTAAAGAGCTTCAACAACCAGAAAGTTCTCCTGAAGAACAACTGAAAGCAGCATTGCCAGGCATGATGAAAGAAATGATGGGACTAAAAGATAGTCCCCCACAAGAACCAAAGATTAAAAAAACTACAGCAACAAAGCCTGAAGGTAGAGAAAATAAAGTAGAAGATATCGTTGAAATGAAATCGAAGTTAAGAAAAGTAGAAACAAAGCCTGCTGAAGAGGAAGATGAAGATGATAAAAGAAGAAGTACTGGTAGTATTAGTAGCTTGAAGAAAATGTGGGAAGGAGAGAGCAGCCCCCCCGAAGGTGTCAGGAAGTGGCCCCCTCCTGATGAGAAACCTGCAGTGCCAACAAAACCCAATGTTCGTGGGATAAAGACAGTACCTCCTGCTATATACGCAACCCCAGGAGGATTGACCAATGTTGTGGAAATATCCCAAGCCCTCGAGAATAGCATTAATACCCTCAAGACTGCTGCTAGTGTTAGTACAGCCAACTGGTTACAATTGTCAGATAAAGTTGGCCTCTTCCATTCCTCTTGCTTAAGTTATGTCAACACTGTTGCTCCTCCAGCGACTAGATTCCATTTGATGGAACTTTTGAACAGAGTAGAATCACAAGGAAGAAACCTCAGATCTGCAGGCGCAAAAAATTCTGCTGATAATGTTAAAGTTCTTGATGACCTGCATAATACACTTAAAGACGTTGTTAATGCTGTACAAAGATAAAATGTGTAAATATGAATATTTTTGTGACTAGCGGTGGTGTGCATTAGTTGGGTTGACACCCTGTGATATTGTATATATTTCCAGCCTTGTCCCAAAACACATTATTATACCTCCTTTTTCCCTTTATTTTGTATGCTCAAGTGTACGTTTTCCTTTTATTAGTGTGCCACAAATGAATGTTTAGTGTGTGATGGAACAGTCTAATTATAACTGTGTATGCTAGTCTTTTTTTAATTAAGGGAAAATCTATTAAATAAACAGAATCGATAACAATTAGTTTTTAAATTGTATATTTCAACTATTCATTATTTTCCTTAGTGATTTATAAATGAATATTTAATTGATACTTTTTTGTATAAAATATATATTGTAGTTTAATATTTTTAGACTATAAATTTAAATGAAATCTCCCTTTTTTTCGTAAAGTGTATTTACATTTTTCATTTATCAGTTTTATATACGTCGAACTGAATAAAAATTATTTATGCAGAAACAGTCTAATTGATAATTCCGTGATGAAAAACAAAAGGATTTAAATATATATTTATGTTATATGAGTTTAAAATTGTATAGTTTTAATCTGTAGAAGAAAAAAATTGACTATAATAAAAAGAGAGCATAATGCCTTCTGTACCCATAGCATTAATGGTATTCATTGATGTTTTATTTTGTTTTTATAGCATTCAATTTTTGAAAATTTGAACTTTGATTATCATTATACACTTGAACATTAATTTATTTGAAATAAATAAAAGCACTGTTTCAAAGCTTAAGGAGAAAAAAAGTAAATTAAGATTTTTAAAAAAAATTATAAATGACATGGTAATGTTATGTACTCATAATGTAAATATTTTCCATGAAGGCATTAATCGCCTCTGTAAGATTTCATTAAAAATGACCATGAAATATGATTTGTATCAATCTCTAATTTTTTTTAAAATAACAATATAAATTGAATTTTTGTTAATAATTTTTTCATAACATGTACATGCATTTTTTGCGTGTTCATAATACTGTGAAAACAAAAAAACAGAATGCCCTTTATGTAATGCTGTACAATGAAAAACGTTTTTATATTTATTTCTTTCATTTCCTCCTGTTTTGCTCATATCTATTGTCATTGAATCTGAGTTAATCCAAGGAAAGGTATTGTTATGATGATAAGCATGATTGTATGAATTTCATTGATAGTAATGATTCAGTTTAATTACTGTGATAATCCCATATTTTTATGAACAAAATTTCTTATCTTTAAACATATAACTTCTGAATTGATCTATTTAAAATGAAATTAAATGTGAAATAAGTATTTTAGCATGTCCTATTACACTTCTTGGTAGGACTCATGATCTCATTTCTTAATTTTATACTTGTAAACAATAAACACGCTTAATAACACATTTTTTTGTGTTGAGAATTTTGATATGTGTTATAGATGAACTTCACTTTCAGTCCTTTAAATCAATTTAATCATTAAGAGAAATACATTATTTAACTTGTAAGTTGTTTTCCTAGATCCTGTTATCAATTTTTAAAATAACTAGGTTTCTCTACTCGATTAAGAGATTATAGTTTTATTTCTGTCTGTATATACAGCTTCCTGTGAATAATCGGCAACAATTGTCTCTGTTATTGTTCTCATACCGAGTTGAGAATTTAGTGTGGTTTTTATAAGGTTTCTCGGTTAATCCTATTTTATAGTGAATTTATAAGTTAAATTTTTTTTTAGGGCTCCCTTTTTTCAACTATGGTAATTTCATACATTTTAAACTGAAGTATCGATGATTTTTCCTACAATTTTTATCTTTCAATGCATCAGTTAAGGATGTTAAGTGGTTCAAAAAAATCATGAAAATTGACATGACCAGCCTTTTAAGGTTTTGTAACATGTAGAGTTCCAAGAAAACTATTTAACTCACAATAATACAGAAAATAACAACAATGCATTATATGATTACATTTAACCTGTATCAATATTTAATAATTTAAAAAACTGTTCCTTTTATCACACTCCCCCTCTGCTGGCAGTGTCCACCCTGGGCCTGCTAACAGGATCATTTGAGAAAGAGTTCATGGATATTAGTTCCATGTTTCGAGGAGGGGGAGCATCTTCTAATATTTTCGGGTGTTGTGGCTATTTATTTTCAGGATCTCTTTCATGAAATGTGATCATTTGAGATAAGTGCCATCCAGGATTTTCATATGGGGTATAGACTCTCCTCTCCTGTTTCATTCCTAATTTGTTAATAGGATATTATACCATGTCAAAATAGAGAAATTGATATGATTGATTAATTAACCCTTTACTTGCAGGGAGCCTCAATCAAGATCAAGTCCCATGTGGGAGGGATTTAGTCACTGAATTGCTCCCATCTTTTTGCACTTTTCACTTTTCACAATTGACCTATAAATTTTTCTTTGATATGATAGGTCATATTTCAATAAACCATTAATTTTTTACTTTCACTTACGTATATATGTAATATACAGTAAGAGTAAATATTGCTTGAAATTTTTTTTAATACAGGGTACCCTGAGTCCAAATAACCAAGTCCCGAAATATGGTCTGTATGTTTGTATGTTAGCAGTCTAGCTCAAAAACGAAAAGTTGTAGAAACTGACATTATCTATTTAAGATAGCTTTATGTCTTAGATGTGACAGCAACTTTTTCCTTAAAATTGGCCAACCAGAATGACCACTTTATATCAATGGTGAGGTACATTTTTACAATTTTCTGAAAAACTGCTCAAAGGATTTTGATTAACTCCCTGTATCATTGTATAATTAAGTGGTCTTTAATATCAATCAGGTCTTATCCCCATTGATGTCACTTTACAGGGCTTAGATGACCAATGTTCATATAAGTCTTCCTTTAAAGTACCTTTAATATGGTTTATTCTAAATCATTAATCATCTCACATTATTTAGAGTTATGAAAAAATGCTAAATATAACTTTTGAAAGAATTTGATAATTGAATAAAAGAGAAAAAAAAAATAAAAATGCTTATTATTAACGATAATATATTATATTTAAATAATTAGGTATCTATCGGCCGATTATTAAAAAAAAAAAAACATCAAGTAACCTTGTAGAAAATTAAATTAGTCAATAATTTGATGAATTTTCTCTTTGTGAAATCCCAACATTTTTTTTTAAATATTGTTTTCTAGAAAATTAAAAAAAAAAAATTATATGCAATCATGGTTTTATGATGGAAATAATAATCATACTCTAATTAAAGAAGATATAATTGCAATTTATTTGTCTAGAAAGCAACAGAAGTTCAGTATTTCATATGAGTATAAATAATAATACAGTAAAAATAATTGTAAAACAATTCTAAACTTCATTCATAAAAATGAAGTCGATCTTCACACTCGCATTACGGCATAATCTCGTACAAACGGCAACACTGATTGCGCCCGCTCTCTCCTTCCACGTCGATCACAAATTCGTAGTATTTTCATAATAAGCCAACCCGAATATACTTAATCAGGGTGGCGACCGACATGGAAAAGTCAGGAAATTTTTTTAGTTCGAAAATATTCTTTTTAAATTAGAATTAAAATGTAATGGATGTCGTTTGTAACGAACTTAAAAGAGACCTAGTAAATTTCGTTGTTATAATCTATAATTGTTATTGACCCGACCATCTTTATATTCATATCGTTATATAACCTATATCTATCCACTTGACACTGTCAATAACGGCCCTGGCCGTTATATTGAAATTAAACAAGGGTAATGAATAAAATGTAAGCAAAATGGGATTAAAACAATGCTTTTTAAAAAGGAAAAATATAACAATAGTATTTACTATCTGTATGTATATATCTATTCGTTGGTTAACTGAAGGAGAACGTTGGCAGCTTCACATAATTCATGCTTAGGTAGAGTCGTAATATGCGAATGAGCAAAATGTCGTTGGACCGCTCGGACTTAACGCATTTTGGTCCTTAATTGTGTGATGATTGTTATGCATATTGAAGTCTCTCATACCAACATAATATATAAAAGCTATGGAATTTGTTTATACAGTCTAGTTCTGTTTTAAAATAGTTAAATTAGCCCAAAATAAATCATTGAAAATATAAAAAGCGCTTAGTTTGAAAGCGGCAGATACTAATACTAGAAGGGAATTATGCCTTCTATTCTCTGAACTGTAACAGCTGTTTAATCGTCTTACATATTAATGTGTCTGTATGAGGTGAATGCTTTTTAAAATTGACTATATTGAATTTCTTCGATACATTCATAGATTTTGAGTTTTGGGAGGAAAATGACAAAAATAGATTTTCCTTTTGAAAAATACAAACAGTCAATATTCACTTTCTTCTCACCCGTTAGCCCTACATCAAAAAGCTGTGCATAAAAATGATAGTAAATTTTATCTTATTTAACGTTGTATGTAATAATAATTTCGATAAAATACACAGTTTCCGTGGCATGTCCAAAAAACTGAAAAAAAGTTCGGAAATTTCGATGTTTTTGCATATATCTCGATGCACAATAGAACATTTCGCTCGGGAACGTCAAATTCGGATTCAGGATCTCAAAAAAACATAAAAAACCGATTATTTGAATTTTTTCTTCGACTAACTACCATCCGACTGCCCTAATGTGTGATGATTTGGACATCGTCTGTCAATTTGAATTATCTTTTAGGAACACATTCTTTACGTCATATCAAAATTTAAGCAGTCAGTTCTTCCGTTAAATGAAGCATCAAATTTCGACTTGTTAATTTAAATTTTCGTATAGAAAGAAACGGCTTTCAACTGGCTGACCGAAGTTGTGTGTTCAGATGAGGTTTATCTAGAATTTAAAATGGTTACTACTAGAGAGGCGAAAAGGGAAAAAATAGTGTCGAAGAGCAAATGATAACGAGTTGTATTGAAAATATGAATTAAAATATCTTACAAATTAAAAATAATTGGACCTGCATACTACAAGCGAGAGAATCGTTCAGTGTTTCATCCTCTCTGTAATGGGCTATTATTTATAATTTATATTTCATATTATTAATCTCACCTAGTTAATGTTTCAATTCTATCCTATGGTCTAAAGCACACACCTTAGTTTTTTTTTGTAAAGTAGAGCATTTAAACCTTTCAAATTATCACCTACATAATTCACTATAAATTGTATACTTTTTGAGTTAATCTCAAAAAAAGTTTTATTTCTCATAAATTTTTTACTATAAGTATAACTATTACTATAAAATAGTAATCTTCGAAAGAATGGCTCAATCATTGGTTTTGGTAAATTATTAAGGGATATATGGCATACCGAAAAAAAAAACACCTTAGTAAAATAACATATAAAGACATCTTATGAGTTAAATTACTTAGATTTAGTTCACAATAAACAGGCCATAGCATTTAAAAAGGACCAAAATGCGTTATTAAGTCCAAGTGATCCAACGACATTTTGCTCATTCGCATATTAGGACTCTACCTAAGCATGAATTATGTGAAGCTGCCAACGTTCTCCTTCAGTTAACCAACGAATAGATATATACTTACAGATAGTAAATACTATTGTTATATTTTTCCTTTTTAAAAAGCATTGTTTTAACCCCATTTTGCTTACATTTTAATCATTACCCTTGTTTAAATAAGATGTAGTCAAAAACGAACACTATAAGATTAAGCTCCCAACAGAAAAATAAGATCAACCTAAATCTAATGACCCTATATACAACTTGATATTTTCCTTTCCATGTGTATTAGATAGTACCCAGTATTTACTCCTTTATGTGACATTGTTATATATAAGGAATATATTCCTATATAAGAAATATATAGGAATGTGAAATTGCACGATGAATTGTACTCAATTGTGCAGTGGACAAATTGTTCATTGAAAAGTCTCATATCGATAAAGGAGGAAGACGCTGGAAAAAGGAACGAGCAGGTAGTAGCAGCTGGAGAAGGACACAGGAGAAGAAAAGAGAACTCACTTGAGGCTGGGACATTAAGGAAGGAGGTTACCTGAGAAGAGAAGTCTACTACACTGAAGATTAAGATCAAGCCTATAGTTATAACAGTTTAGTAGAGTCAATTTTTTTCAGTTGTGGAAATAAATTATTTTGTTATGCAGGAGTGAAAAGTCATTTATTTGTGTAGTTGTCCTATATGCCTCACAATTGAAGAATAATAAACCAGATGAATCAATTCGTTCAAAGTGTGTTTACTAAATCCCACATTTCATATATATATCATCATCATCATATGTGGCAAGACATCCCGTTACCGAGACTGGGCCTCCTCCAAGAGCCTCCACCAGTTGGCTCTGTCTTCTGCTGCAGCTCTCCAGTTCCGTACACCAAGCAGGGTTCTCGCATCATAGGCCACGTTGTCCAACCATCTCGTCCTCGGCCTTCCTACCCGTCTTGCGAGGTGCAGCTCCTCCATCATTATTTTCTTTGGTATTTCAACGGTGCTCATTCTGGCCACATGCCCTGCCCACCTTAGTCTGGCCAGTTTAATATACGTGACTACGTCGATGTCTGTATAGAGAGAACTGAGCTCCCTATTTTTTCTTTTCCTCCAGACATCACCCTCCTTTACTGGACCATAAATCCTTCTGAGGACTCCTCGCTCAAACACACTCAGCTTCATCTCATCGTTTTTAGTCATCGTCCAAGCCTCTGAGCCATATGTCAAAACAGGCCGAACAAGGGTCTTGTATATGATCAGCTTGGTCTTCTTTGAGAGGTACCTACTTCTTAAGTGTCGGCCAGTCCAAAGACATCTATTGGCAGCCGTGATCCTTCTTTGTATTTCTTGAGCCATGTCATTTTTGCTATTAATTTCAGACCCAAGGTATACAAAACTTTTCACTCTCTCAAACTTAAAAGAACCTACCTCAAATGGAGAGTTCAGATCCACCTCATCACCAACTCTCATATACTTAGTTTTCCTCTCGTTGACTTCTAGACCAAGTGGTCTTGCAGCTGCTTCAAGGCCTATAAACGCTTCTCTGAGAGCCCGTTCAGACCTACCTATTATGTCAATATCATCAGCAAAACCAAGAAGCTGTGTCAGGCGATTGAAGATTATATCGTTGGTCTGAATACCGGAGTCTCTTACAGCTTTCTCCTCTGCCAAGTTGAACAATAGACAGGCGAGGGCATCCCCTTGCCTAACCCCACTGCTCACTTTAAACTCTTCGGAGTCGTCAGAACCGACGCGTATTCTACATCTCGAGCTGTCCATGGTCATCTTGATTAGGCGTACGAGCTTCTGAGGGATGCTTAGCTCCTCCAAGGCACAGTATAGTTGTGTTCTATCAACGCTGTCGTATGCTGCTTTAAAGTCTAGGAATAAATGGTGGGTGACTACCTTACGCTCCATAGTCTTTTCTAGGATCATCCTCAGAGAGAACAGTTGATCAGTGGTTGAGCGTCCTCTTCGAAATCCAGCCTGATATTTCCCCAGTTCCTTTTCAGAATACGGGAGGATCCTCTCAAAAAGAATGTTAGAGAGCAGCTTATAAGCACACGAAAGGAGTGAGATTCCTCGATAGTTGGCGCATTCTGTTTGATCTCCTTTCTTATGTATTGGGCAGATAATGGCTGTTGCCCATTCCGTAGGCATAGCTTCCCTCTCCCAGATGGTCAGCATTAAATCATGCAGAGCTTTCTTGAGTTCTTCACCTCCACATTTCAACAGCTCTGACTGGATCAATATATATATATATATATATATATATATATATATATATATATATATATATATATATATATATATATATATATTCTTATTATTTCTTGTCACTCAGTGCCACAAAAGTATTAGGTTCCCGAATTCCCAACAACAGTTAAACATCCTCAAAAAGTCTGTATCCAGTGCCGGGATTTTGTTTTAAGAAAATTAAAATTATGAGTGTAAATAACCTATTCCCCCCATAAAAGCGGAAGGAATATTTACAATTCCCACCAAAAGGTCATTTACAAATAATCCTTAACGGGTTATTTACTAATGGACTCCAAACATGTTATTTACACA